GCTCTAAAGGTCAATTATAAGGGAACTAAAGAAACAACACTATGCAAAATGAATAAACCAATTTCTGTTGCCATCACCATATGTTTTTCTTATCACTTATGGTTTTTCCAGTTACTGTGTACATAGCATTCAATTAAAGCGATTCATTTACCAGGCTGAATATGGTTTGTGTTTATAGAACTGTGCTTTGGAGGAGAGGAAACAACACGCCTCTATTTGAATTACCTGATTTTTTGCAAGATCAGTGATAAGAGACAGATGTTCTCACCAGTTACTTTCTCATAACCACAATCTTTTGATAAGCTGCAAATTCACAATTATCATCTTAGTGATCTTTTCACACTCAACATATAGTATGCACTTGGACTTTTAACCAGAACAAGAGAAAAATACTGGTTTGGTGATCTGTTCACTATATTGCAATATTTTGCAGAATGAATTTTAATTTCTTTGAACAAAAGCATGTGAAAGATCTTTGTCTATGTGTCATATGTTCAACTCTCAAAAATAAACCTCATTTTATTTTAGATTCCATATATCATTGAGCCTATTGTTTAGTTTGTGGTTTAGTCTATTTAACATGTGAAAAAGAAACTAATTCTTGCTATAAAACTAACTTGAACTTCTTTGTATTAAGTTCTAGAACTCCTTAGAAAAATGAATCCTAGAAAATCTAAAATGATAATTTTCCTGTTTTTCTTTTAGTATTTGCCTTGTAAAACACTGTGGCTAATTGCCGTAATGCTTTGTTAAGAGTGTTACTTGAAAGCACTAATTTCTAGAACTTTTGAATTTCTGGGATAATGTATGATCTAAGAGGCTTGTTTGTGTGCCACCTTTGAAATGTCTTAAACTATTCTTTCTGTAGATCAGCAAAGTAATAGTTCACTGAATTATATAAACTACACCTGTAAAGTAAATTTTACAAAGTAAAACTCTTCAGAGTCCTTCTCTTTTTGAAAAATAATTATTTAATTGCTACTCTATTTACTTCTTTATGGCTCTTTTCATTTTACAAAGGCGTATGTTCTTATCTGCTATCCCATTACGTACAACTCCGTAAGGGAGTATCATTCCATTTTATGGAAGAGAAGCATGAAGCTCTGGGTATGACCTGATCTGCCCACAGTCACACAAGGTTTTGAACCTAGGCCTCATGGCTCAAGTTCTAGAGTTCTTTTCACCACGCTAGAGTGCAGGGCTGTTTCTCACTAGCCATCTCAGTGGAGGCAGCGCTGAATAGCATCGAATCATACAGTACAAAGGATGGCCCCTTTCCTCCTCTCTGCAGGTGCTTGTGATACTCTTAGGTAGGCCAGCTGGAGTTGAGAGAAGTAGTTCTCTCACACCACCCTGACATTGCATTCTGTGCTTATATTTAACAAGGAGAGCTGGTCTCAGACCCAGAGTCTTCATCAGAGGATGATATTTTTAGCAAAAATTTAGCAGCATTGGTTACTATCATTGTATTACTTGAGTTACTTTTTACTTATGAGAAAGGATACACATAAGTTTTTCAGAACAATTGGGCCATTATTCTAAGCGAAGTAACTCGGGAATGGAAGACCAAACATTGTATGTTCTTTCTCGTAAGTGGGAGCTAGCTCTGAGTATGCAGAGGCATAAGAATAATACAGTGGACTTTGGGGACTTGCGGGAAAGGGTGGGAGATGGTGAGGGACAAAAGACTACAAATTGGGTACAGTGTTTACTGCTCGGGTGATGGGTGCACCAAAATCTCACAAATCATCACTAAAGAACTTACTCATCTGACCAAATAGCACCTGTTCCCTAAAAACCTATGGAAATAAAAAAATTAAAACATGAGTCACTTTGAAAACCCTGTTAGGCAAGTAATGTTCACTTTGGACAGGGAGATGGCAAAAGGCCTGAGGGTTGCATATGAATGACTGATGTCTGAGAGCATCATCCTGTCCCATGTATATATAAAGCCCTGGAGGCTGTGAGGAAGGTTTCAGATTTTTATTATATTTTTCAAAGACTCCTGTTATAGCTGTGTCTTAATGTACGGTGGGGAAGGTGAAAGAAGGATTCTACTGAGTTAGGAAATCAGTGGGGCATTTTGTGGACGTCCTGCTGCTGGGAATATGCAGTGGCTCTTCTTTGAGTACCACATGGTTATTCCTAATTTTAAAATGTTATCACAAAGATACAATCTTCGAGTTGTTCCATTTCAGTGTGGAGAAGCAACATAAGCAGGCATATGGCCATAATTTGGCTGACTGGTCATATAGTTCCCTCTTTAACCCCCCCATTTATTCTCCCCAGTGCTGTCTTTGGCGACTTCACACAGGCGCTGTGTCTCCTCAGGGCGCTGTCTTACGTGGGTGGCAGGGTAGGGTAGGCTAGCCATCTGTTATTTTGCCCTCTTTTTCCAACCTTCTTGCTCATAGTAGCAGGTTCCGTTGAAGTGACTGGCTGAAGTCCAGGGAGTGGGGGAGCCATGTGACTTTATCTCAGCTACATGCCTATCTACTGTCTTTAGCATCAGTATAGCAACTGAGTAATATTTTTTGAATGCCCTATTTTACAGATTATTGCCTTTATATGTACAAATCTTATGATGCAAAATGGATTCATTTACAAATTGTGGTGTTAGCTTGTTAAAGGATTTAGTTCATAATTCCCATAAATTTAGCCTAGAAAAGCATTTTTTAATTAAAACTCTAAATTCCAGTGGTGAAAATGGGCTTATTTGATTCAAATATGTGCTAAAGATTTTTAAAGCCCACAAGCTTCAAGGTTTAGTTTCCCATCTCAACAGATGGAATTAACACAAACATAACAAAGTTAACATCATGGTTGTTTGCATTATTAATCTTCAAATGCATGGCATTCTGCTACCTTGCTAGCCAGGTTTGCACGAATCCTTTCATTGCAACATATGTCAACAGAAATGTGCTTCCATCTGCTGCCGGATAGCTTGATGCCTGATATTCCGAGACAAGGCCCAGCACAATGAGTACCTCTGTGAGTAATTACAGGTGTGTGGTGAGGAGCCTAGGGCATTAATCAGAGGCTTAATTATGAAAAAGGTGGATCTTTTGTTCCACTCTTGAATCCTGAGTTTACCACACACTTTCTAAACTGCAGCATCCATCTGCTCGGTCCCTTAGAATGTTTGCCTTGACTGATACGGACCTTAAAGTGTATCAAAGGACGTGATTAAAGTAGGCTTAAACATTAACCTGGAAGAAGCGTGGTTCATGGTTTTTTTCCCCTTCCTTCCTTCCTTGTTTACTTATCTATCTATCTGTTTATTTCTGGTGTAGGAAAAAAGTCTGCTGAAATGCTAAAACTTTGAATTAGTACTTGCTAAACTATTTACTATATGTGAACTCTACTGAATTAAGCATTATACAGTAATTTTAAGAATGTAAAGGTCAAGATTTGTAGAAACTAAGACCCATGTAAGGAAAAAAAAGTCTTAGGAAAAATGGTTTGTGAACATATACAAATTTTTTTAAGAAGATAAGTTGTTAAATGAGGTTATTTTTATTATGACAGACTTAACATGTTAGAATTTAGCATGTAACTACTGCTTTGCTCTAATGTGATACTGATAGAATTAAATCAGGATTATTTTTAAGGATTTTTAAGATAACCACACTGAAATCTAAGAAGAGAAACTAGGATTTTGTGTGTGTGTGTGTGTGTGTGTGTGTGTGTGTTTTGCTTCTTACTCTTATATTGAGACTCTAATTAAAGTTGTGAAACTATAAGTCACATAACTATAATATAGTCATGTAACATTTTAGTCAGTGGCAGACCACATATATGATGGTGGTCCTATAAGATTATAGTGCTGTATTTTTACTGAACCTTTTCTGTGTCTAGATGTGGTTTGATATGCAGATAATTTCCATTGTGTTACAATTGCCTGTACTATTCGGTATAGTAACATGTTGTGCACATTTTTAGCCTGGATGTGTAGTAGGCGTCTACCATCTAGGTTTGTGTAAGTCACTCTATGATGTTCACAAGATGATGAAATTGCCTAACAGCACATTTCTTAGAATGTATCCTCGTCATAAAGTGACACGACTGTACTTCAGTGTGTGTTTTGATTAATGTACATGGCCAACAGCTGCATAAGTTTGTGATTTGTGGTTTTCTTACTAATTTCTGTTACACACACACACACACACACACATACACACACACGCTTGCACAGATGGCTTCAGAGATGTGGCCTGGCCATGGATGGCATGAATGCTGTCCAGTGGTGGACCCCTGATCTGCCACAGGGAAGAATTAGATATCTGCTTCAGACCAGAGCTGGGGGGTGAGGGGCCATCCAGCCATCAGTGAGAGGCCATCACAGACACAGGAACACAAGGTGTCTGGGGCAGATGATACTCTTCACACTGCACTCTGTGCAAAAGGCCACTAGTGCACTTTGTACTTGCACCGAGATCACACATATATTCAGAACCATGCTGATTCCCTGACCTTAGCATTTCACTCATTACAACATTACCTTAGCACTCTGCATATTCCCATTTCTTAACACATAAAACTATCTGAAGAGTGAAATTGTCCATCTCTTTGCCTACTTTAAGATATTTTAATGTAACTGTGTGCTTTAACTGTGGCAAATTGAAAGCTAAAGACAGGACATATGTTTTGTTTTAGTGATAGATATTTGAGGGTTTTAATTGCATATTTACCTCATTACTCCTGTAGCTTGTCCAAGGAGCCTACCTTTACATGGAAGACAGAGGAAATGTCTAGTCTCAGAGTCATGGTTTAGATTTTGCATAATTCATCTTACAACTTGGTGTCTCCAATCTCTCACCTTTGAAATAGGTACAATAACCCTTGGAGTAACTCAGTTTCCAATATCTCTTTCACTGAAAATGTTCTGTGATCTGTGCTGTCTTAGATTATTATACAGTGGTCATATGTACCACTACAAACACTACTTTGGAATTTTGTGTTTGAACATTACAATTGTGTTTTCTTATCTTCCCTTTTAGGATATCTTAAACACCATCATAAGGCACTGTCCACCCCGCTTTTTCTCCCTGGGTTTTCCTGGCTTCTCAATGCTGGTGGGGGACTTCATCACAGCCGCTGCCAGGGTCCTTAGCACAGACATGTTGACGGTGAGTATGACAATGCTCAGCATCCCAGCTCCCAAGAGGCTTCACAATCGCTAACAAGGTTCAGATTTCTCCACTCTTAACAGGTGTTGACTCATTAGTGCAATGTGAAACTGGGCTCTCAGGGTAGATACCCTGGCAGCTGATGTGTGAAATTGTAGGATAAGATGACACACTGGTATTGGAAAGGCGTTTCATCAAAAGGCCAAAGTGTGAGAAATCATATCCTCACTAATATTTCAGCACATTTACACAGTCGGAAGCAGGACTTGTCTCTTAGAATATTATTAGCATTTTCCAGTAAATGGTGGCACAGACATAAATGTCTAAAATAGAGAGTTTTGAAATGTACATTAGCAGTATGATTTTTTTAAATTAAATCTTGGTTATTATAAGTCTCATAGAAAATATTTTCTTAAAATGTTAGAACACTAAAATCTTAACTAGAAGTGAATATGTATTCTCCTAATAACATGCCAGAATACTTTGGCAGAATTTTTGTAATAAAAATTAGAAGTGGACTAAATGATCAGTAAGGGCTGCAGAAAATTTATTTTTACTCTCTACATTTACCTCTACTACTAAGGCAGTATCTTTTTCTTTTCTTTTCTTTTTTTGTTGTTGTTTTTCAAGAGATAGGGTCCCGTTCATTCTCCACCCGGGCTGAAGCGCAGTGGTGCTATCGTGCCTAGATCACTGTAACCTCAAACTCCTGAGGTCAAGTGATCCTCCCACCTCAGCCTCCTGAGTAGTTAGGACTGCAGATACACACCACCATGCCTGGCTGAGTTTTAAATTTTTTGTAGAGATTGGAGTCCCTCAGTGTTTCCCGGATTGGTCTCAGACTCCTAGCCTTAAATGATCCTCCTGCCTCAGCCTCTAAAATGTTAGGATTACAGGTGTGAGCCACTGCACATGGCCAAAGCAATATCTTAATGCCTTTTTGAGAGAATACTGTTATACATTTAAAATGAAAGGACATTTTCCATTTGTGCTCTTTAAGCTGTTACATATTCAGAGTTATTTTTGCCTCTTCAAATGATATAAATAAAATTAGCTTTACTATTTGCTAAGCATTGGTATCGAAATCAGTGTGGCCATCCAACAACCTAAAGCTTGTTTGATATGTGATTACTTTTTCACTTTACTTATTTCTTCTTTTCAGGGTAAATTCAAACTTCAAGCCCTTGGTTTTAAATTAAACTGTTTAAAAATACTTCCTGTAGCTGGTATTTCATGTTGGTGCTTTCACACACTAACTTTTTCTTATAAAGATAAATTAGAAAACAAAGAGAAGTGAAAAGAGACAGGAGCAGAAGGAAAGAAAGGTAAAAGAGAAGAAGAGGCCAGGCATGGTGGCGTAAGTATAGTTACAGCTATAGGAGACTCAGGAAGCCGAGGTGGGAGAATCACTTGAGATCAGGAGTTTGAGTTCAGCCTGGAATCACCACACTGTCTTCCCCTATGGTTGAACTAATTTACACTCCCACCAACAGTGTAAAAGTGTTCTATTTCTCCACATCCTCTGCAGCATCTATTGTTTCCTGACTTTTTTTTTTCTTTTGAGACAGAGTCTTGCTCTGTCACCCAGTAGCTGGGACAACAGGCACCCTCCACCACACCCAGCTTAAAGTTTTGGTATTTTTAGTAGAGACAGGGTTTCACCGTGTTAGCCAGGGTGGTCTCGGTCTCCTGACCTCGTGATCCACCCGCCTGGGCCTCCCAAAGTGCTGGGATAACAAGCATGAGCCACCACGCCCGGCCTGTTGTTTCCTGACTTTTTAATGATTCTAACTGGTGTGAGGTGGTATCTCATTGTGGTTTTTTTGATTTGCATTTCTCTAATGACCAGTGATGATGAGCTTTTTTTCATGTTTGTTGGCCACATAAATGTCTTCATTTGAGAAATATCTGTTCATAATCTTCACCAACTTTCTGACAGGGTTGGTTATTTTTTTTCTTATAAATTTGTTTAAGTTCCTGCCAGGCTCGGTAGCTCTTGCCTGTAATCTCAACACTTTAGGAAGCTGAGGTGGGCAGATCATGAGGTCAAGAGATCGAGACCATCCCAGTTAACACAGTGAAACCCCGTCTCTAATAAAATTTTTAAAAATTAGCTGGGTGTAGTGGCACACGCCTGTAGTCCCAGCTACTTGGGAGGCTGAGGCAGGAGAATTGCTTGAACCTGGGAGGCAGAGATTGCAGCGAGCCGAGATCGCGCCACTGCACTCCAGCCTGGGTGACAGAGCGCAACTCCCTCTAAAAAATAAAATGCTTTAAGTTCCTTGTAGATTCTGAATATTAGCCCTTTGATGGTTAGATTGCAAAATTTTTCTCCCATTCTGTAGGTTTTCTCTTCACTCTGATGATAGTTTCTTTTGCTGTGCAGAAGCTCTTTAATTTAATTAGGTCCTATTTGTCAATTTTGGCTTTTGTTGCAGTTGCTTTTTGTGTTTAGGTCATGAAGTCTTTACCAATGCCTATGTCCTGAATGATATTGCCTAGGTTTTTTTCTAGGGTTTTTATGGTTTTAGGTCTTATGTTTAAATCTTCAATACATCTTGAGTTAATTTTTGTATAAGGTGTAAGGAAGGGGTCCAGTTTCAGTTTTCTGCATATGGCTAGCCAGTTTTCCCAACACCATTTATTAAATAGGGAATCCTTTCCCCATTGCTTGTTTTTGTCAGATTTGTCAAAGATCAGATGGTTTTAGATGTGTGGTGTTATTTCTGAGGCCTCTGTTTTGTTCCATTGGTCTATATGTCTGTTTTGATACCAGTACCATGCTGTTCTGGTTACTGTATCCTTGTACTAGAGTTTGAAGTCAGGTATCGTGATGCCTCCAGCTTTTTTCTTTTTGCTTAGGATTGTCTTGGCTATATGGGCTCTTTTTTGGTTCCATATGAAATTTAAAGTAGTTTTTTCTAATTCTGTGAGGAAAGTCAATGGTACCTTGATGGGAATAGTATTGAATCTATAAATTACTTTGGGCAGTATGGCCATTTTCATGATATTGATTCTTCCTATCCTTGAGCATGGAATGTTTTTCCATTTTTTTGTGTCCTCTCTTATATCCTTGAGCAGTTCAATCCCTTGTAAATTGTATTCCTAGGTGTTTTATTCTCTTTGTAGCAGTTGTAAATGGGAGTTCACTCATGATTTGGCTCTCTGCTTGTCTATTATTGGTGTATAGGAATGCTCGTGATTTTTGCACATTGATTTTGTTGGTGTATAGAATGTTTGTGATTTTTGCACATTGATTTTGTCTATTATTGGTGTATAGGAATGCTCGTGATTTTTGCACATTGATTTTGTATCCTGAGACTTTGCTGAAGTTTCTTATCAGCTTAAGGAGTTTTTGGGCTGAGAAGATGGGGTTTTCTAAATATACAATCATGTTATCTGCAAATAGATAATTTGACTTCCTCTCTTCCTATTTGAATACGCTTTGTTTCTTTCTCTTGCCTGATTGCCCTTAAAGTAGCCTTACAGACATACATTTGGCTAATAGTACAGTAGCCCCATTTTATCCTCAGTTTCACTTTCTGATATCAGTTACCACAGTCAGTGGTGGTCCAAAAATATTAAATGGAAGATTCTAGAAATAATTCAGAGTTTTAAATTGCACACCATTCTGAGTAGCTTGATGAAACCTTGAGCTGTCCTGCCCCATCTTGTCCGGGACATGGATCATTGCTTTGTCCAGTGGATCCACGCGGTATCTGCTACGCACCCATTAGTCACTTAGTGGCCGTATCTGTTACCAGGTGGACTGCTGTGATATCACAGTCCTTGTGTTCAGGTAATCTTTATTTTACATAATAGCCCCAAAGCACAGGAGTAGTGATGCTGTCATATTGTTATTATTGTTCTATTTCATTATTAGCTGTTATTGCTAATCTCTTACTGTGCTTAATTTATAAATTAAAATTTTTTCAAAGGTATGTATGTATTGCAAAAACAATAGTATATATAGGGTTTGGTACTATCCACAGTTTCAGTCATCCACTGAGGGGGTCTTAGAATGTATCCCCTTCAAAAAAGAGGGAACTGCTGTATATGAAAAATGCTCAAGATCACCAGGGAAATGCAAATTAAGATCACAGTGAGATAATTACCTCCCTGTTAGGATGGCTTTCACCAAAAAGACAAAAGATAAGTGTTGGCAAGGATGTGGAGGAAAGAGAACTCTCGTACACGTTTTAAAAAAAAAATTCTCCTTTTATTTGAATTCATTATATATTGCCTAGATTGCAATATATAATGTCCATTTATTGCTCCATTCCCTCTGTGATCACCACTTACCAAAATAGTGATTCTTCCTTATTTGAGGCCTCTGACAGAAAAAACTAGGATGAGATTTGACATCACAACCAACACATCCCCAAAGACACAGGTTAAAAACCTATTGATAGGGATCAATATGTATATTAAAACAATATGTATATCAAAATATTACATTGTATATCCTTTAAATATATAATTTTTTTTTTTAAGGTGGAGTCTCACTCTTTTGCCCAGCCTGGAGTGCAGTGGCGCAGTCTTGGCTCACTGCAACCTCCACCTCCCGGGTTCAAGCAATTCTCCTGCCTCAGCCTCCTGTGTAGCTGGGATTACAGGTGCCCGCCACCAGGCCAAGCTAATTTTTGTATTTTTAGTAGAGATGGGGTTTTACCATGTTGGTCAGGCTGGTCTCGAACCCCTGACCTCCTGATCCACCCACCTCGGCCTCCCAAAGTGCTGGGATTACAGGCGTGAGCCACCACGCCTGGCCCATAAATTTTTACTAATTATACTTTAGTAAAGCTGGAAAGAAAGAATCAACACAATAGAGACTACTCAAATCAAAGATGGTATAAAGATAAATGTAAAGGTCAAATTCACATAAAAAAGTGTTGCCAAGGTAGGAAAATAAATAACCAAGAAATAACCAGAACCTGGAAAAACACAAACTAGAAAATGTGGAGGGAAGAAAGTACTGAAATATAAACCAGGAATTTGCTTCAAAAAATTCAGAAAGGATGAAATACAAAACCAGCTTGCAAAAAAGAAAAAAGTGTTATGTTCTTTGAAACTACAATAAAAGAGACATGAGTGCCTTATCTTTTAAGCCTTTTAAAGGCATCGAATTTGCTTGGTCTTTAACACATATATCAATGTTACATAATATTATATACATTTTTCTTTACTATCTGCCTGAGGTATGATAGTAGGAATAAATGTTACAGCCATGAATTGATTTTTAATTCTGTTTTCAAATATTGCACATGAGTGTTTGGGTTAGTGAATGGTTGGGTACTGGGTATGCTAATCATACCATTTTTTCTACACATTTTCATCCCCTTGTACACTTTCGGTGGGAAGGTAAATTGGTGCAGCCATTATGGAAAACAGTATGGAGGTTTCTCAGAAAGTTGAAAATAGAACTACCATATGACCCAGCAATCCCACTTCTGGGTATATATCCAAAGGAATTGAAATCAGTATGTTGAAGAAATATCTGCACTCTCATGTTCAGTGTAGCAGCATTCACAATAGCCAAGATATGAAAGCAACTTAAATGTCTGTTGACAGATGAATGGATAAAGGAAATGTACATATCTCCAGTGGAATATTATTCAGCCTTCAAAAAACAAAGGAAATTCTGTTGTTTGCAACAGCATGAATGAACCATTTTTCCAAATGAAAGAAGCCAAACTCAGACAAATACTGTGTGGTGTCACTTATATGTGGAATCTAAAAAAGTCCAACTCCTAGAAGCAGAGAGTAGAATGGTGGTTCCCAGGGGCTGTGGTTGGGGTCGGGGGAGATGGGACCACTGATGTTTCTCAGTGGTCAAAAGTTTCAGTAATGCAGAATGAATGAGTTCTGGAGATCTCAGTGTGGTCACTATAGTTAATAATACTATATTATAAACTTGAAATTTTCTAAGAGAGTAGATCTTAAATGTTCACAACTCACACATAAAGGAACTAACTATATGAGGTGATATATTAATTCACTTGTTTGTGGTAATCATTTCACTATGTATATGTATATCAAAATATGCTGTATATACTTTAAATATATAAATTTTTATTCATTATACTTTAGTAAAGTTGAAAAAAAGAATCAACACAAAATTAATAAAGTAGCCTTCCAAAATGTTTTTTTAAAAGAGAGAGAATATGAATGAGAATGTGAATGTAAGAGTTACATGAAGGAACCACACTCTGAGTATTAGTACTTTCTTGTTTAAACTTGAGGTTAAAATTGTAGAGGAACTGGTGAAAGATGTTTGGGCTGGAGCATACTTGCTCAGTCAGAATTTTCAGTTAGCACAAGGTAATTACCAGTTTGAAGTACCCCTGCTAGGTAGGTCTGCCCCACTGAGGCAGTAGGAGAGGGAGATGCACAGATGGCTCACCCAAGTCACCAAGAGATGAGGAGATGCTTGTGCGCAGCAACATTATTTGTAACGGCCAAAACCTAGAGCCAATCCAAATGCCCATCAGCAATAGAACAGATAAATTATGGTGTGTACATAAGATGGATTATTATATACAATGAAAACACAGGATCAGTTACATAACATAATGAGTGAAAGAAGTCAGACACAAAAGAACATATACTCTAATTTCATTTATTTAATTGAAAAACCAGACACAACCAATCTGTGGTGTTACTGCAGAATGCGGTTACTTTGGGGGAGGGGAGGCTATCATGGGAGGGGCACAAAGAGGACTTCTGTGGGTTGGTAGTGATATTCTTCCTGTTGTCTGTCTCTACGTCCTCAGGGCTCCGACCTCTGTCATCACTTCTCTCTCTGTGCACTCCACAAAGACGCATGCATTCAGTTCCTCTGAACACATCTGAGTTGTCATCCCAGACTTTTCTCTCCTAACCTCAGGACAAGCATTTCAAAAAGTCTTCTTCAGAACAGTAATCTCCCCAGATACTCTGGGGGAAAGGGAAGGAAGAAAGCCAGGTTCATAGTCAAGTAATTTTGGGAAATACACTTCTTCACTTGGAAATTCACAGCATACAGTAACACGTTAAATGCTTCTATTTAATTGTGCTTAGCCAAATGTCTCTGCAACGTCTTTTTCCTGGGAGTCTTTGTTTTTGCCCTTTCACAGTTGTTGTGGCCCTAGTGGAACATACTTTGGAGACAACTGCTTCTGACCCTTTCAGCCTCCCGTCTCATGGGCACCTGCCTCTTCCCTTCTCAGCTGGCTCCCTCACCCACCGCCAGCCTGCCTGATTTCTACTCCCCTCTGTGGCCCTTAGCAGCAGTTTGTTTTAGGTTTCCTAAACATCCTGAGCAGAACCAGTCCTTGCCTCATCCCATAGAATAGCTCTGCCGTGCTTTATATTGCCTTTTATTTACCTGTGTACTTACGGGAACCAAGCTAGGTAAAAAATGAAGGACTGGGCTCCCATGCTATGTTGCTCTCCTAGCAGGTGCTTCACTGAATTGTGTATAGCTGTTATTTGCCTTTCCTCCCCTACCTCACATACCGTGCCTCATCTCTCTGAGAGAGTAAAACTCTCTGATTTTATAGCCTAAGTGCTTAACCATAGGCTCAGTCTGGACCTGGGGCTAGATGGCCTCAGTTCAAATCCAGGGCGATCACTTAGGAGCCATATGGCATTGAAAAGCTACTTAACTTCTTTGAGTGTCAGTTTTCTCACTGGAAAATGAAAACAATAGCCTCTCCTTCATTGGGTTGGTGAGGGGACTTTATGAGGAAATGCTTGTTCAGCACTTAGAAGAGTGCCTACCACAAAGTGAGAACTCCTTAAATGTGAGCTTTCATTGTTTTAATTATTACATAATAGTAGACAGATAGATGGACAGATAGGTAAGTAGACTGATGACAGACCTGTGTAATCCCCTATTCTTGGCTAACCACAGCTGCTGTTGTTGACTGAATTGAAATCTAGTGAAATGCCTTTTTTCTTTTTTTTGAGACAGAGTCTCACTCTGTTGCCTACGCTGGAGTGCAGTGGCACCATGTTGGTGCAACCTCCATCTCCTGCAACCTCCATCTCCTGGGTTCAAGCAAGTCTCCTGCCTCAGCCTCCTGAGTAGCTGGGATTACAGCTGCCCACCACCATGCCTGGCTAACTGGCTAGTTTTTGTATTTTTAGTAGAGATGAGATTTCACCATGTTGGCCAGGCTGGTCATGAACTCCTGACCTCAGGTGATCCGCCCGCCTCGGCCTCCCAGAATGCTGGGATTACAGGTGTGAGCCACTGCACCTGGATGTGCCTTTTTAAATATGTACCTAATTCTAACACTGGGCAAATAAGAGAAAAGTATCTCACTAGATATAGTGATATAGTATCTCATCATATGTTGTTTCATAAAGTAGTTCTTGGTGATAGACAGGAAATGTGGTAGTTTGTCTTCTCTTTCTACCCTCTGATAGTTACCTCCATCTCTACTTCTCTATGAATTCTCCTTAATTGTTCTTAGCAGCAAAATGATACTAAGTTGATATCCTTTACCCTGCTTTGTTGAGAACATTAGCAGTAAAACAATGTAAACAGTCATGACAGAGTCATTGGCCTTTCTAATTCTGAATGAATCTGCACATCAGTTTCCACAACACTTGTTTACCTCCAAGTATAGTGTTATTTTCCATTCCTTAGAAATTTGTTTTTCCGTTTAGGCAAACCTCTTTTGCTTAAATATTCACCTGGAAGAGAGTAACTCGACCAAGTTTGGTATTTTTTATCTAGGATGAAGAATAAAATGTCGCTTATTTAATGTTTCTAACTTACAAAAAGAGAAATGTGTGTGCTTCTCTTCCTTATGTGCAGGCGCCTCGTTCAGAGGCTGTCACTGTCCTTGGCTCTCTGGTGTGCTTTCCAAATACCTACCAGGAGATTCCTTTACTGCAGTCAGTGCCAGAAGTAAATGAGGCCATTACAGGAACTGAAGATGTCAAGGTACATAATGCATTTGACTGTATCTCAAGTTTAGCACTTTTTATAATTCTAGCTTTATGATTATCTCTTCCATTAGTATATATTAATCTGCGTATTCCTGAAATTTTGTTGTATCTTTCAAATGTTTCAGTAGGTGTTTTTAGAAGGCTATTCGTGGGCTATACATGTGTTAAATTCAGAGCATATTGCATATAGCTCTGAATAGCTATATAGCTATAGCTAAAGCAGGTGTTTTTTGTTATACCTGTTTATTGGGCCTAGGGATCATAATCATGTAGTGAATTGCCTTTGGTAATAATTTTATTAACTTAATTAACTGCATTAGTGCATCAAGTTAATTTATAAGAAATAATGGAAGTAAGCTAAATACTCAATCACGTTGTTGGCCTGATTAAATACTACTAATAATTTGAGATTCTAAATTATTTATTGGAGAATAAAAGTAAGCATTTGTTCTCTCCTCAGCTGACTTTGAGGTAAACAAAAATGCTTTTAGAATCCCAGAATCAATCAAACTATAAAACATAATTACACTATGTAATTCAGTGTACAACATTTAATTCAATTAAAGTAAAAGAAAACCGAGATTTTCTTATCTGGAAGTCTCATTTGCTTTATACCAGAAGCGCTCTACTCCCACGGGCTGAATGGCTTAGAGAGGCCCTGTGGAGACCCCCATCCTCCACCACCCACTCCCCCGAGCCCAGTGTTCTTCTCGCCTCAGGCTCTCACTCATAGATGAGCTCTCTGAGCTCCCTGGTTGAACTTCAGTAGTTCCTGGCTGCCTGGAACATGGTCAGAACATGTGGGAAACCAACTATGACAAAAAGTTTTTATTTTACTTAATTTTGTGTTTTTAGCATTACCTCATAAATATTTTACTGAAGAATGCCACAGAAGAACCAAATGAATATGCAAGGTAAATGTTGAATAAGAGGTAAACTATTTTAGAATTTTAAGATACACATTTATGTGTAAGTAGTTAATGTTACAAAAGAAAACACTTATTCTTTCACGTAGCTCTTATACAGACTGAAAAGTATAGGAAGAATGATGCCAGGAAGATGCTTTGCATGATTATTTAAAAAGGTATCATTATTAAGTAAAAATTGTAAAGTGCAGAAGAGTATACATAATACACTATTTTGTGTGAGAAAAAGCAAGATTACAAATATAATCATGTATCCTCTAATTAATTTTCAAGAAGAAAGAAAATGAAAATATAAACCAAATATTTATAGAAATATAAATATATAAATATAAATAGTTGGTGTATGTGTAGGGTAGTGACTCTCAACCAGTGACGATCTTTTACCCCAGGAAACATTTGGCAGTGTCTGGAAACATTTTGGCTGCTTCTGCCAGGCGTCTGAGGTAGCCAGCAGCCTATGACCAAGATACATGAGGTTTTCTGAGCCACTTATGTGATGAAAAGTTTCTGCCTCTCCTCCCAAGGTGAAGACTAAAGCTGGGAATGCTGATGGAGGGGAACACCTGTCTCCGATCCTCAATTTCAAACCCCATAAGGTCACCAGAAGCCCAGCTCAGCCTCTTACTCCCTCCTAGGAACGGTTCATGTTCTGCTCCCTCTGTAGCCTCATTCCAAGACAACAGCCCATCATTCCTCACTGCCTTATCAGCTATTTGATGATTTTAAGGGTTTTTTTCTCTTGTATTTTGTATAATTTCTTTGGTTATCTTCAGTAGATGGGTTAGTCCAAATTTCCTAGTCTGCTGTTACCAGAAGCTAAACTGATAATAATTTGCAAATATTAAGCTAACATTGCATTTTTGGATAACCTCAACTTGGTTTATGTGATACCAGACCTGGTTTGGCTAATATTTTGTTCAGGAAAATTGCTTTTATATTGATGGCCTGTAATATTCCTTCCCCATCCTTCGCTTATCAGATTTGATTATAAGGTTATAAAGTCTCACAAAATGAGTTAAGTACTATTTCATTTTATTTCATTGGAAAGAGTTTTTACAGAATTAGAATTAATATTTTTGTGTATTTAGTAGACCTTGGTGGTAAAACTACCTAGGTCTAATATTTTCTTGATGAGAAGATTAACCACTGACTCATTCTCTTCAGTGATTTTAGGACTATTAAAGTTTCCTTCTTCTTTTTTTTTTTTTTTTTTCTTTTTTGACAGTATTAATGAACCAAACTTTTCTAGGAATTAGCCCATTTCACCTAAATTTTAAAATATACTGGTATATGAGTTATCTCTATTATATTTTATCTCTTTCACTTCTATGGTTACATCCACTTTTTAAATCTCTGACACGTTTTGTGTATCCTCTGATTTTCTGAAGTAGTCTTGCTAAAGATTTGTCAATTTTATTAGTCTTTTCAAATACTAGCCTTTGGTCTTTGTTCAACTTCTCTATTGTATATTTGCTTTTATTTCCCACTCTCTGCTCTTTTCTATCCTTTCTTTTGTTTTCTTTACAATCTTACCTTTAAGGTTATATATTATTTTCTTACCTTTAAGGTTATATATTTAGTATATTAATTTCTCCTTTACAGATATAAACATTTAAGACTACATGTTTATTGCTAGTTACTACTTTGTCTGAATTCTATTGGTATCTTTTTGTTACTGATGTCTTAGTTAATTGCATTATGGATCAAAATGTCTTACAGCAGTTTTTGAAATTGTTGAAATTTGCTTAATGACCTACTAGGTAGTCAGTTTTTGTCAATATCTCGTATAAACTTGAAAAAAATGTATGCCCTGTTCTTTGTTGGGCATAGTCTTCTAGTTGTGTTTATTAAATTTTTTTAATCCTGGGCTTCAAATATTCTGTATCCTGTCTGATTTTTTTTTCTTCAGCTTGATCACCTTCTGGAAGAAAAATGTTACAATCTCCTGCTATTTTGGTGTGTTTATGTATTTCTCCTTATATACTGTCAAATTTTGCTTTATATATTTTGAGGCTATGTGATTAGTTGCATAAAAGTTTAGAATTGTTCTATATAGTGAATCAAATATTTTATATTTTTTTTTAGTGACTCTTTATTTCTAAGGAGGATTTTTTTATCTTAAAGACCACTGGTTTAGTTATTTTTAAATAATACTTTCTATTCTTTTTAATTAACCTTTTTATATTCTTATTTTAGATATCTTTGCAAAAACTGTATATATCCAGATTTTATAATTTTATCCCATCTGATCTTTATTTTGTAACTGAAGCTTTAGGTTCATTTTCATTTGTTATAATTACTGATCTGTTTGGATATACTTCTTTTATCATATGTTATACTTTATTTTTAATAGGAAAGAAAGATCCAATTAAAAATAAGGCACTTCTTTTATTTCTCCTTTATCTTGCCTTCATTTCCCCATCCCCTGTTTTTCTTTCTTCTTCTTCTTCTTTTTTTTTTTTTTTTGGATTTTTCTCCATTCTATTTATTACCTCAATTGTTTTTAAATCGTAGGCTCCCTTTCCTTCTTTTAGAGGTTATACTAGATACTTGAACACGCATACTTACCAAGCCTGCAGCTAGTCTCTCGTTACTCTCTTCCTGAACAGTGTGTGTTCCTCAGAACATAATTCCCTAATTTTGCTCCTACCTCACTGAACTTTCCTTTCTGTCCCGTTTGCTGACCTTTCCTCCTCTACCTAACCTCTGATGAATGTTAGAGTGACTTAGGGTTTATGGCTGGGCCTATTCTCTGTATGACTTCCTGGGTACTCTTATTCTGATCAGCCTTTAAATACCATCTTTCTGCTGATTTATTTATCTGCCTCTTCATTGAGCCCCTTTTATACTCAGACTTATATATTAAACTGCCTACTTGACATCTCAACTTGAATGTTTTAACACAACTATTACTGCACCCTTGAGTCTGCTTCTGACCCCCCTCCCCCACCTCCGAGCTGACTGTCCCTCAGATTTCATCTCACCACATGGCCCCACCATTCCCCCAGGTTTTCAGTTAAGAAATTTAGAGAAAACTCTTGATTTCTTCTTTTTCCTACACCTACTGCATCTAAATCATAAAGTCTTGGCAATTCTTCTTCCTCTCTCTTTTTTTAGTTCAGAAAGCCGAATTTCTGTGGAGTTAAAAACAGAATAGAAATGTGTATGGCATGGTCAGCTTTCTGTAAAGAGTATCTGGTCCTAGCACATTGTTTAGAGGAATTAACAGTGAAATTTATTTTGAAAGTTGTATTTATATATACTTTAAAATAAAATATAGCATTTGTTTTATGTTTGTGGTAGGTATTATGCATATTACTGTAAAGAAAACAATTACAAACTCCATTTTTGACAGTTTCCTCAGATTTATGTTTTTTTATTCTTCCTCAAAAATATCTTGAAACAGTAAAATGTAATAACCTATTAGTTTCAACAAAACTAGATAAGCTGGGCATAGTGGCTCACGCTTGTATTCCCAGCACTTTGGGAGGCCAAGGTGGGTGGATCACGAGGTCAGGGGTTTGAGACCAGCCTGACCAACATGGTGAAACCCTGTCTCTACTGAAAATACAAAAATTATTTTGTGGTGGTGGGCGCCTGTAGTCCCAGCTACTCAGGAGGCTGAGGCAGGAGAATTGCTGGAACCCGGGAGGTGGAGGTTGCAGTGAGCTGAGATAGCACCACTGCACTCCAGCCTAGGTGACAGAGTGAGACTCTGTCTCAAAACAAAAACAAAAATAAAAACAAATCAAAACTAAGTGGTACATGGGCTGTGACAATTAACAGAAAATATACCATTCAATTAAATATTTAAGTACTAAACTATTATCAATATTTCTATTTGTCCTGAAAATTGGCCTATTGAGGATTTTTTATCTTTCAAGAAGACATTCTGCTAATAAATCTACAATTTTTGCTATTTTGTATAAATAGATTTAAAGTGTTTTGTTATTTGAAAATACCGAGAAAGTTTATTAAGTTTCATGAGAGTTTTCCTCTGTTTTCTTCTTTTTAAAAAGATGCATTGCCATTTGCTCCCTTGGGGTCTGGATATGTGAAGAGCTTGCACAGTGTACAAGCCACCCTCAGGTGAAAGAGGCCATCAATGTGATAGGAGTAACTCTGAAGGTATTACCAGTTTGTGGTGCTGATTGGACATTAAGCTATATCTGAGGCATTTAACAGTTTGAGTTTGAATTAGCCCCATCTTTTTTATCCCCCAAATGATAGAAGGATTGTGATTCCCATTGCATGTGCTGCGAGGCTCCCGGGAGGGGCACCAATGGCTGCTCCCCTGCTGGCAGCTGCAGCCCAGCCACCAGTGTCTCGAGTGTTCCTGGACCAGTGGCCAGATGGGTTCCTCTGGTGGCTGGGAAGCTCCTGTCGCAAAGAGGACACCTGTCACCTGTTGGTGGGAGTGACAAGAGAGTGGGGTCTCGTGCTGTGTCCTCTTCAGCAGGCCTGGGAGAGACCTCCACAGCTTCCATTTAGGCCCCTCAGCGTTCACCATCTGACTGAATCTTGGGCACTTTAAGGACATCTTTCTCTCTTTGTCCTGTTAATGAGAAGAAGAACTGCCATTCCCTGGGCACTCACACTAGGTCGGAGTAATGGCGAACTCTAAATACTTCTGTTAATCTTCAAGACAGCTCTGCAAGATAGATGTTGTAATTTCTGTTTTATACCAGAGGAAATCAGGGCCCAGAGAAATTAGGTCACAAGCCTGAGGCCACACAGGTGTAAGTGATGGAACCAGCAATAAAAGCAGATCTGTGCGGCATTAAAGACATGCTTGAGCTTTCACATGTGCTATTAGGCTGCCTCTAAGCCAGAGCTCAAATCCTGCTGGGTCCTTTGCTGGGTCCTGCTTGGAAATGGTGGTAATAAATAGCATTGCCATTATCACCCTTAGGGAATCAGTGAGTGCCTGGTCTCTGCCAGGTGCTGTGCTGAGGGTTTTATGGAAGTTTTTAGTTCAGGGGTAAGTGTCCTCAGTTTACTGGTGGAGAAACTTAGGTGCAGGAGCATTCAGGCCCTAGAATGACCGCCTCACTGAACCAAAGTTCAACCCCTGAACCATCCATCCACGTAACACCAGCATTCAGGCTGCTGCGTGCCCTTCTGTGCTGCTGCCAGACGCAGCTATAATAGCAACGGCACTTACAGCTGACGCCTGGGACAGTCGCCATCAGGCTAGCAACAGTCACTGTTCCACCCTTTGTGTATTATCTGCTTCTGCGCATAGGATAACCAGCCAGTGCTGTCTCCCACCCTTGGCTTGGCATCTGGCCCCTGCCTGACCAAACTCAATGCCTCCTGTTCCCCAAGTACACCCTCTGACCACCCCCATTGCTTCATCCTCCCCCATTTCTCCTCCACAACACCTGGGAGTGGAGGTGGGGGTGGTGATTGTATTATGGGAGCTGGAAAAACACTTGCTGCTGATCCCTGTGATGAGGAATGGAAAAATTATCCAACCACAGTATCACAGAAGAGTGCCCCTCCAGCCAGAGCAGGGTGCTGACCGCTGACCTTTGTCAGCAGATTTAATCCTCAGAGCTGCCCTGTGAGGGGAAGTGTCAGTGCCACCTCCACTTCACAAATGAGGTGGATGAGCTGACTAGGGACCAAAGGAGCTTGCCAAAGCCAAACCCAGAACAGTCTGGCCACATGTGTGGAGTTTTGCACAACTGAGGTGTGTAGGACACCTCCTGACTCCCAAAGCCTTGGAGAAATATTTACATATAATTTATTAAAGTGAAAACAAGTTGGCTTTAAATTATATATCAATGTAGATCCCAATTCATTTTTAAATACCCTTTTTCAATTCTAAGATCTGTTTTAAAATTTTTAATTTTTCTTAAATCTAGAGGTATATAGTTAATGTAAGGTGGTTCCCCCATCTCTATTCCTTTCATGGAAAAACTATTAATAACTCAGTGGTGTGTTAGATTGAAGGAGATAGACACACACAGACACACAGAGTCATGCATTGCATAGTGATAGGGATACATTCTAAGAAAATTGTCACTAGGTGATTGCATTTTTGTGTGAATATCATTAAGAGTATTACAGAAACCTAGATGGTTTCTGGACTTTGTGGGATGGCTTGTTGCTCTGAAGTTATAAACCTATACAGCACACTACTGTACTGAATACTGTAGGAACTGAATATTGAATTGGAACACAATGGTGAGTACTTGGGTATCTAAACATGTCTGGACATAGAAAAGGTACAGTAAAAATATGGCACTATAAGCTTATGGGACTAGTGTTATATCTGCAGTGCTTACCAAATGTTTCCAAAAACATTGTTAGGAGGTACGTAACTGTATATGTGTATCTCTGTATAATACAGGAAAGAGATAGAAATTGCTAACAGAGTAGAAGGATAGATAATCTTTCTGCAACTTTTCATAATTTGGGGGGAAAATACAAGATACCAGAAAAACAATGTGGTTACCACATACTGAGCTCTCACTCTCTCCGCTATCCCAGCACAGCATAGAGATTGTCCTGCTGAATCCTCCCGCCTCTGGATAGCAGTAAAAGGGAAGAGGACTGAGGAAGGTCAAAGAACTGGCTCCAGCTTGAATTGCTAAGAAAGCAGAGGGATCAGGATGCAGCCAAGTTGTTGGGTCTTTAACCATTATTAATAACAGGAAACTCATTGACTTAAGTCCTGGTCTCTGAGGACACCTCCCTCCCCACTTCCCTCTTCCCCTGCCTCCTTCTAGTTCCCGTGTTGCTGTGGCAACTGGGTTGTTTTACCTAAGGACATAGCACATCAATCAAAGAACTGAGGACTGGAAGGGAAAGAGTTGCTACAAGGAACAAGAAGAACAGCCACCACTCTGAGAACAGGGGATTCTAGGAGGCTTTGGGGTTCTGCCAGGAGGGAGAGAAATGGAGAAAGAGGAGGCAGTGGGGTCGTCGGCCCCACCGCCAGCCAAGCCTCCGCCTGCTTTTTGGGTAGCGGAGAGTGCAAGCCCTGGCAGGGCTTCCTGCTTTACGGGCTCCACGTAAAGCCAGTGCCACCTCTCTTTTAAGAACCCTTCAGAAATGCCCTGCAAAGGTGACGTAGGTGTGCCCTTGAATGTGCAGAGCATTCCACTTAGCGAGGCCTTGCTTGGCTGGTTTGTTTATGGTGGGGTAGCAGATGGATGGTGGGCATGGGGTGGTTGGGGGAGGTGGTTCTAAGCCATAGCCATACTCACCAACTCTTGTGAGCTGTCCAGCCCTGCTCCTTCTCCCACCCCGTCTTCTGAGACATCACTGACTTTCCTCTTTCTCCTTACCCCATTGTTGTTTCAGGCTTTGAGTCCTGCCAGCTGTACTTCCTTAACGCCCATTGAATGCCCATGGTCCGTCCCACCCACTACCCAAGTCCATCCCTCACACAGCTCACCCTCCCAATACAGAGCCTCCTGATCAGAGTCACCAGTCCTAGACTGGCCCCCCACAGATCACTGTTCATACCACTGTCAGCGGGATCTGTTCACGCACAGGCTGACCAGTACAGCCCACAGGCTGGAGTGCTCATCATGGCTCTCTGTCGGTATTCTGTGACTGTATGCTGGAGAAGTGAGAGAGCACATGAATGGCTTATTTCATCTCCACCATTCCCCCCTCCTTCATTACATGTCAGTAACACCACCCTGCTTGCAGCCCCCTGTATCTGACTGACCTTTCCTACCTTGGTGCCTGGGCCCTGCCACCCATGCCTGGAAGGAGACCCCACATCCCCACTGCGTTCTTCCAGGAGCAGCTTAGCTCTCCTCTCCTTCCACGTTGCCGTCTCTCTGCCTGTTTTCCCCCAAGCCCCATGTCCCACTACTCTGTGCCCATAGCTTTTTTGTCTTGTCGGTCGGCTCTCAGAATTTTCTCTTGTCTCTTTCCAGCTGCTTGAGTTCAGAGCTTTGCCAGCCTTACCTTTCCACCTGGTGACTCTACCACTGTGGTGCAGCAGCAACACACACAGTGCCCGCTCATGTTCTCCCACTCCCTCTGAGTTTCATCTTCACCTTAGGCACAACACGCACATCCTTAAGGGGGGCATGCTAGGCATTAAAGATATAGTGGTGAACAATATATGCAGGAAATAACAGACAAAAAGGTCAGCTCTGATAGCCTGTAATGCCATGAAGGAGATCTAATAGAGGAATAGGATGAAGCTGAAGAGCAGAGGGGGTGGGCCACCACCCAGCTATTGGGGCGGTGTGGTGGCCTGAGGGAGGAGATGACATTTTATGCCATAATTTGAAAGATATAACAATGCAAGCCACATGCAGACCTAGGGATTAAGTGTTCCAAGCAAAGTTTAGAAGGAGCAGGTGCAAAGGCCATGGGGCCGAAGCAAGCCAGAGTGTTTGAGAGATGGAACAAGGCTGGTGGAAATTGTGTCATCTGGGATGTGGGGTCTCTGTGGCCAGGGAAGGCTGTGAAGAGCCCCTGAGTGCAACTACTACAGCCCTGCGTTTAGCTAGTGCCTCTCAGGTAGGGGTAGTCAGTAACTGTTTGTTCTGTAGAATTAAAAACCTTTCCCTTTCTACTTCCTTATTCTGTACATTTATCACTGAGGCACTGAACATTGATGATGCTGCTTCATGTGGCTTAGAGTGAGGTGTCCCTACACTAGGGTCAGTGACAAACTTTTCCTGCCGTACATAATGAGTAATGGATAATGGTATAGCCCCATGTTCTGGCCAGGGAGAAAAGCAGAGGGTGCCCTTGTCCCTTCTATGCTCTCCCAGCATGAAAAAGTAAGACCTTTAAGGTGCTGCCCTTAGACATGCTACGTCACAATAAATGGAAGCGTTGAGATGCATGCCAGCCTCAGGAAATGTACTCAGAATAATTGAGTATACCATAATTCCTTCGTTATCTTCTCCTACACTCTAACTTTACACATTCTTAGTATGTTATACGTGTAGGTCAAGTTTTATTTCATAGGATAGAAAGCCATTTAATCAATCCCTGTTTCTCCATATGTAAAATGAAAATAATATCTACCTTGCAGAGCTGTCAGTGAAGATTTATCAATGAGAGAATGAGTAAAATCCTTGTAAAAGTTTCAGTGTACGGGGATACATTTTAATTTCCTCTATTTGTCAAAAATATGATTTATGTGAGCTGAATAAGAAATTTGAAATTATGGTTTTAATTTCCAAATGAGTGAATGAAAGCTTCTTGTTCCTGTAGAACGTTATATAAATTAACACAATGAGGCTAGAGAAGAGGCAGTTTTAAAATGGTGATGTGACGATGTCTAAACTCTCTGGTAGTAAGACGTATTTTTCATCAATTTGAGGCAAAACAGATAAATGTAATCTATAAGGAACTGAGAGGAAGTAACTATTTTGTCCTTAAGAATGATGTACCTGTTAAGTTATGTATCTGCTTTGGGATTTGGTTTCTTTTTATAGTTTCCCAACAAAATCGTGGCCCAGGTAGCTTGCGATGTGCTTCAGTTGCTGGTTTCCTACTGGGAGAAACTTCAGATGTTTGAAACCTCTCTGCCTCGGAAAATGGCAGAAGTAAGTCTTTTTTTCTGTAATACTGAAACATAAGAATTTTCTTTTTATTGTATTTGATATTTAATTAATTATAAATGTTCAAATAATTGTTAGAGAACCGACTATTAAATTGCCACAAGTCACTCGTTTTAAGATTAAGTTAGACTGATTCTTCTCAGCTGTGATTTCAGGCACTATGTAAAGAAGCCAGCAGTGTTCCAGACAGAGGCTTATACTTGGGGAGTTTGAAAGGCAGGCACAACCACAACAAAGAGACCTTTTGTAGATTGGGCTTCATTCATCAAGAGCAATTTGGATGGTGCCAACAAGGAGTAGGCAGCTGGTTATGATGCCCTCCGTGAGGGGTGGAGGGGGCGGCTGTTGTGTAAAACAGAAGTCTCTCCCAGACTAAAGCCCTGGACCCCACTTTCTGCCCTAGCAGGATTATTGGCCATAATGAGATTGCTACCATGATAACCTCTGTGTGGGTAACTGGTGGGAGAGAGGGTTGGAAGGAATAGGAAGAATCTTCTCAACAGTCATATCCTGAAGGCCACTTGCGTCCAAGTGTGCTTCGCCTGTACACAGGCAAGCACTGTCACTCCCATAGGTGTCCATGGGATAAGGCACTTCTACTGAGTTTTATAGCTGCACTTTTAACACATGCCCTGTTCTTATACATCCAGTGGTAACTCTTCGAGGAAATTTGATTTGTCCCTGTGAGGTATTACAAGGAGAGAGAAGAAGTGATGTTGGTTTATTTTCTCTCAGCCCTAGACAGATTTCCCTGGAAAGATCACTTTGTTCTCTCAGAGGTACATTAAAAGGCACAAGTGATTTTTGACCTTAAGTGACCTAGAGTGAAATGGAGTTTGGACGTGGGAACGTAAAATGCTCTGAAATGGAAAGTAGGGTTTTGGGGTGACAATGTAATTTATCATCTAAATGGGACTGCTTTTGAGAATGAAAGGGGTGCTGTTTACACCAGGACAGCAGGTGGAGACTTAGGGTAATTTATAATAAATCTAAAATGGGAGCATTTTCATAATTATTTTTGGAAGTGTTTTTTCACTTCACTATGAAAACTGTGGAAACTGATGTTCAGAATTATGTGACTGCAGAGAGAAATACTCTTTTCTCTGTCTTCCCCCCTAATTTTTCAACCAGAAAAGTAGAGTAGAAACTGGATGTGACCCCATTGTCTTTTCCTAATTTTCAAGGTCACCACACAGCTGGCCCTCTGCTTTGTATCACCTTTCTTTGGTGAGTTGGCACCAAGCTGGCTTTAGTTGCAAGGCCATCGTGGGACTCCTAACATGGGCTTACAAAGGCTTACAAATATGGTCTGTTTGATTGGGGATTTATCTTTTATGCAGATCCTTGTGGCCACAATTGCTTTTCTTTTACCAAGTGCAGAGTACTCCTCAGTGGAAACAGACAAGAAGGTAGGTGGCACATTAACTAAGTTTTTCCTTGAGTTTTTTTTTATTTTAATGTAAGGTAAAATGATAAATAATGTTACAACTAGTGATATCCTTTGTAATATCCTTCTCTATTGGCCTTAACAGTCTTTTTTGTGAAAATGCTATTTATTTATTTACTTGTTTACCTGCCTATCTAGCACCTGCATGTCCACTGAATACTATGTGTAGGGACAATTCTCTTATTATTGCATGTAGTGAGGTTTAAGAGACTGCAGCATAAGTTACCGGATATGTTCTTCTTCCAGTTTATTGTGTCCTTGCTACTCTGCCTCTTGGACTGGTGCATGGCGTTGCCCGTGAGTGTCCTTCTCCACCCCGTGTCCACGGCAGTCCTAGAGGAACAGCATTCGGCCAGAGCCCCCTTGCTGGATTATATCTACAGGGTGAGTCTCCACCTGGGTCTGGGGGAATGGAGTGTGGGTTTATATGCCAGAGAACCACCAAAATATGTCTTGTGCATGTACTTATTTGTCATTGCCCTTTTGAAAAGGATTTATGGTGGCTAAACTTTTTCTTAAAAAGTAAATAACTTGGCCAGGCACGGTGACTCACGCCTGTAATCCCAGCACTTTGGGAGGCCGAGGTGGGCAGATCACGAGGTCAGGAGATTGAGACCATCCTGGCTAACAAGGTGAAACCCCATCTCTACTAAAAATACAAAAAATTGGCTGGGTGTGATGGCGGGTGCCTATAGTCCCAGCTACCCTTGGGAGGCAGAGCTTGTAGTGAGAGGCGATCTCACCACTGCACTCCAGCCTAGGCAACAGAGCAAGACTCCATCTCAAAAAAAAGAAAAAAAAAAATTGTAAATAACTTAAGGACTGAAAGCAGAACAGATATAAAGAAGCAGTGGTTACCAAGTTAAAGATGCATGCATTTTACATGAATATCATCTTTATTCTTTAAACAACTGCAGTTTTGTCAGGATTCTTCAATTTTCATGGAACATGTTCTATGTCTACTTAAGAAAGAACTGTTCGCCACCTCACCCGGCTACTTTTTTGTATTTTTTAGTAGAGACGGGGTTTCAGTGTGCTAGCCAGGATGGTCTCGATCTCCTGACCTCGTGATCCGCCTCGGGAGGCTGAGGCAGGAGAATGGCGTAAACCTGGGAGGCAGAGCTTGCAGTGAGCTGAGATCCGGCCACTGTACTCCAGCCTGGGTGACAGAGCGAGACTCCCTCTCAAAAAAAAAAAAAAGAAAGAACTGTTCATATTATAGGGATATCTACATTAACTTTTTCCCTAGGGCAAATAACTTCTTTTTAAAAAATTAATTTATTTTTGTTGCACATATTAGATGTACATATTTTCAGGGTACATTTGATAATTTGATACATTCACGTAATCAAATCAGGGTAATTGGGATGTCTGTCTTAAATGTTTATCTTTTCTTTATGCTAGGGACACTGGAATTATTGTCTTCTAGCTATTTTGAAATGTACAATTGATTAATGTTAACTACAGCCATCCTACTGATCTATAGAACACCAGGTCTTATTTCTTTTATCTAACTATTTGTATACAGCATTACTTTGACAAAATCTGTTTATCAAAGGAAGAAAAAGGTTTAATGGTCTCAGTAATCATTTTGCCTCAAAAAATTCTTAAGAAATAAATTAAGGAATTATGTCACATCAAAGTAATTAGCTTCATCATTTTTATAATATTTAAAATATTCTTAGTTAACCCCCCCACCCCTTCCCCCCACACACATACACACTGATGACTAGGGGTGGCCTTTGCTCTGGATTGCTTATAATATCCTTCTGTAATTTGTCTTAACAGTCTCTCTCAAACCTTGGCTGTTCATTTAGCATTTGCATGTCCACTGAATAATTACTATTATGGAGGGAAAATTCTGTGGTTTACTCTTTTACTAAGAAACCTTTAATAATAAAAGAAGAGTCCAAGTCACAGACTGATTACTTTATTGCCTTATTTTTAAAAGTATTACTTTAAAAAAAATACCTAATTGTGGTTGAAATTCTACTAAAAAGTATTTGTGTATTCTTAAATGGTTTCTTCAGTAGTTAAAGATTTTAATAACTATATTAGGATTCATTAGATACTTCTGTTATTTTTGTGGCTTATAAACCTGTACAGAGCTTGGTTTGGACCAACTGCATTAGCCACAATCACTTATGTAAATCTCTTTTCTGAGTTCTTTCTTTTCTTAAAGATTTCTCTTAAAATTGCTTTATCACTGTAAAAGTCACCTCGTAGTAAAAATTCATAAATTTACTAAATAACTGTTTGTTTTGTATTTTAAGAGTAAACTTCTTATTGAAGTATAATATGCGTCCAGAAAACTGCACCAGTCTGTAAGTGAAAGCTTGATGAATTTTTACCAAGTGAGCATGCTTGTAAAACCAGAGCCCAGATCAGGAAACAGAACATTCCCGGCATCCTGGAAGCCTTCTCTGTGCCTCGCCCTAGCCACTGGCCCCATACACATGTCCAGGGATAGCCTCTATCCTGTGTAACGGAGTAGAGTAGTTTTGCCTGTTTTGAACTTGATACAAATTGAGTCATACAGTCTGTCTTCTTTTGTCTGACATCTTTTGCTCAACATTATTTTTTAGTGATTTATTCAAACTGTTGTGAATAGTTGCAGATTTTTCACTCTTGGTGATAGATAGTATTACACAGAATAAACCACAATACATTTATCTATTTTACTGTTCATAGACATTTGGATAGTTTAGAGTTTTGGACCCATAAAATGTGAATATTTAGGGTTGTTGTTTTGGATTTTTTTTGTTTGTTTTTTGTTTTTTTGTATACACACATATGCATTTCTGTTGGGTGTGTACCTAGGAGTGAAGTTGCTAGAATACATATATTCTGCCTTATTGGTAAACACCAAATAATTTTCCAAAGTAGTTGTGCTAGTTTACACATAGCATGTTGTTTTAATGTACACTTCCTACATTTATTGCATTTTGGCTACTAGAAATTAATTATCTCAGTGATTGCAGCTTAATTTTTAAATGAATAACAGAGCTGCCGTAAGGATTTTCCTATACTGCGATTTTTGCTAGGAAGAGGACATAGTCAAGTGGTTGCCCTGACAACTATAATTCTTGGTACTTTGTAGCCATTTACAAAGGGTACCTGACCACAAGGCCTCTTGCCATGTCAGCAAACCAAAGCTAGTCATCTAAAAGTGAATTTACTTTACAGAAATATATTTAACCCAATGGTGTTTTCTTAGTTTTTCAAGTATTACCTTGATTCTTATAGAAATCAGTGTTTGGAGTTTATGATCTTGAAGTTATGATTAAAAAGGAAATCTGGTACAATCATTACGTCATTTATGCATTTTAGCATATTCAAGATGATTTGTGTTTGCATGGCTTGTATGTGTACAAAAGCTCAAATGAGTAGATAGATCTTCAGTCAACTGCAGTTTGTAAACTACTGGTGAACTTTCAGGAAACTAATCTTGTCAAAATAAGAATAATTTTAAAATTGTATTAAGTTAGCCCTTACAATTCATGGTGTCATGAGTTATACTAATTTAAACTCATGTCGTGCACCTAATGGTCTCTGCTTGTTGTGCTCATTCCACCCTCCACCGTGGTTGGCCTGTCCCACCACTACCCTTCATGCCCTGATTAGTTCCTTCTACCTGTGCCACCTTTGGTGGACAGGAGGGGGACTTAGGTATGTGCAGTCACACAGAATGTGAATAAGTACTTTTTAACTTTTACTTTCCTTTTGCCTTGAGAACATATTTCTTGGCATTGATATGAAAGGAGCAAAATAAATTTGCTAATAGTAAGAATATATTTAAGAATGGTCATTCCATTTCCAACTAGGACCAAGCAGGAGTCCTAGCTGTCAACTGCAACAGTAGTTTGACAGATTGTCAGGGGACACGAGGTGGGTAGCATCCATGGTGCACATGGCCTCTGTTTTCACAGGTTCTGCACTGCTGTGTGTGTGGCTCAAGCACGTACACCCAACAGAGCCACTACACACTGACCCTGGCTGACTTGTCATCCACGGATTATGACCCCTTCCTGCCACTGGCAAATGTGAAGAGCTCTGAGCCAGTCCAGTATCATTCATCAGCGGAACTGGGTAACCTGCTGACTGTTGAAGAGGGTGAGTGAGTATTCTTTCAAGTATGAAACCTTGTGAGAAGGAAAAGGAAGGATTTAGCCTTTTGCCATGCTTGCTGTACTATTTTTTTTTTTTTAACTAGTTGTTGAAGTTGAAATCCTAGTTCCTGGAGTCCTCTGTGATGGCAAATTCTGCCTTCCTTGTTTCTTCTTTTTTTCTATTTTTTTTTTCTCTGCTGTTTTCCCATTTTGGTAGTTCAAATGGTTTTTGTATTATTCAAGACAGGTATGTCTTAGATCCTTGGAACTCACAAAAAAGGCTCATTTTCTATCCTCAAGGAGCTTTACATCTAATGGAAAACACACAGTGAAGTCCAGAAGGACTCATTGTGGACTGGTAGCACCAAGAGGGCTTTCCATGAAGAAGGACTTAAGCCAGACTTAGCAGGGTGGACAGGTGTTGAAAGGAGCTCGTAGATTGTTCCAAGTTAGAAGAGCATCATAGAAAGAGATGGAAATGTACTTGCTACAGTTTTAGATTTGCTCTGCTCATAGCAGAGAGTCCATTTTAGAGTATATAGGGATTGTCAGGACTTAGAGCCTGCTGTATTTCTTACTTAAGCACCCCTCTCCCCAGAATGATAAGAGCCCAGCTTTGGGCCTTGGAATGGGAGTCAGAATGTGGGTATATTGTCTATACATATGATAAAATTGCATAGAACCAAACACACACGCACACACACACACACAAATGCATGCATGTAAAACTGGTGAACACTGAATAATATAGATGGATTATTATCAATGTCAATTTCCTGACTGTGATGTTGTCCTATAGATATGCAAGATGTTACTCTGAGATTAAGGGTATTTGAGGTCTCTCTGTATTATTGCTTACAACTGCATGTGAATCTGCAGTTGTCTCAACACTAAAAATTAGAAGAAGAAAGAAGACTGAGCCTGGTGGCTCCCACCTGTAATCCTGTCACTTTGGGAGGCCAAGGAGAACAGATCACTTGACACAGGACCAGTTGAATCTGTGAGGTCAAGGCTGCTGTGATCAGTGCCACTGCACTCTAGCTTGAGCGACAGAATGAGACCCTATCTTAAAAAAAAAAAAAAAAAAAAATGAAAGAGATGTAGGTGTGAAGTGTTAGATCATCCATGAAAATTTTATGGACTTCACAAGTTAAAAACCTAGGCCCAAAAGTAGAATCATGCAGGCAAAAACATCCGTAAGGACAGCAGAGTGAAGAATGTCAGCAGGAAAGCAAAGTCAGGGAAGTAGAAAAAGGACCAAGAAAGAGTCATTTCTAGCAAATCAAGGAAGAAAGCAGGTAAGAAGTTGAGAAAGGTCAGTAGTGCTAGTTGCTTCAGAAAGCTTAGGGAAGGTGAGAATGAAACAGGAGCTGTTTTATTTCCCAACTAGGTGTTTGGTGGTAGGTTTTGCCAGAGCACTTTCACCAGAGTGGTGGGTCAAGCCAGATTACATGAGCAGGTGACCTGTGCAGTGACAATCACATCCCTGAGTCAGACTCCTTTTGTGAGGCCCTTGGTGGAAGGAGGAAGGACACAGCAGGCAGTGGCCAGGTGAGGGAGGACCAAGGTCCAGAGGTATGCTTGCAGCACTACAGAGTCTGGAGCAAGGTTCAAGCTGACAGGAAGGGAAAGGTGAGATGAGGATGAAAAAGACAGGAGGGGGGTTGACAGTCATGAGCAAGGGCTTAAAATCTAGCAGTCCTGATTTTAGCTCCATTTTGTAGATGAGCAAACTGAAGTTAAGGGATATTCGCAGGGGTGTGTACAAGTCAGAAGTAAGGGAGGTGGAATTTGAACCTAAGATGTAATGACCAAGTTCCTAAAATACATTATTGACTCTGAGATTTTTGACGTGGAGTAGATTTAACACTCTTGTTTTGAGTTGTGTTGGAGGTGATTGATACATGGTTCATTTTCACATTGTTCTCTTGATTTGTTCTCCATTTATTTAATCATTTAATTGTTTATTTCTGGAGCTCTACTGTCTGTTAACTGCAATGTCTGCTTTACTTTTCCCCCCACAATGATAAATTATTTTTATTAAGTAATTGAAACAACTCAATCTATTTGTTTTGTTGTTCCCTACTGTAAGTTCATATGTCTTATAATAAAATTATTTTTTCCTAAAGTCATCAATTTATACTCATCCCACATGAATATATTCCTAAAACATGGCTATCCCTAAAATAGGTTCACCATTTATTATGAGTTGTCACTTAAAAATAGCAGAAGATAAATAGGTTATTGAAAAAGGAAAAACCTAAAAATACACATTTAAATTCTGGCACCATTTTTCTTTCAATGTACAATTATCTTTTACCTGAATATTTGTTCTCCAAAAAACATCAGGAGCTAATGCAAACATTCCCAAGATAGTTCTAAAGTACTAAAAATAATTGCTTAAACTTCTCTGACAAAGGAGTTTTTACAATTCACTGACATATTAGCTAAGCAAATAGGCAAAATGCTTAAAAATATATTGGTATGCACATCCTTGCTAAGTGGATACATCATATAGAAAGTGAAAAGGAAAAATGAAGGTGAATAGTGTAGGTATTTTAGGTTAAGCAAGAAAGAGCTCAAATTTGAGGGTATTTTTTTTTCACTCAATGTCATACTTCATCATCCATAACAAAACTATCCCTGGTCAGGTGGCCAGGCATGGTGGCTCACGTCTGTAATCCCAGCACTTTGGGAGGCCGAGGCAGGTGGATCACGAGGTCAGGAGATCCAGACCATCCTGGCTAACATGGTGAAACCTTATCTCTACTAAAAATACAAAAAATTAGCTGGGCATTGTGGCAGGTACCTGTAGTCCCAGCTACTTGGGAGGCTGAGGCAGGATAATTGCTTGAACCTGGGAGGCGGAGGTTGCAATGAGCCGACATCGCGCCACTGCACTCCAGCCTGGCGACAGAGCAAGACTCCATCTCGGGGAAAAAAAAAAAAAAAAAAAAAAAAATTTATGTTCTTTTTCACCTTTTTCTGGTATCTTGTTGAGTAGCTTAATAATCAACCTTCTAAATTCTTTATCTGATATTTCAAAGATTTCATCTTGGTTTAGATCCATTGCTGGGAAGCTAGTGTGATCTTTTGAACCTTGTTTTATCATATTACCTGTATTTTCTGGTTCCTTCTCATTTGTGTAGACTGTTTCTTCAAATTGTTCTTGAATTTATTCTTGATTTGACTGTTTTTATTTTTTAATTTCTTTTTCCCCTCCTCTTAAATACGTGACTTTAATGTTTATAGTTTATTATAGCCTAATTTGATTTTGCTGCTTTTAGAGGTGAATATTCTATATGAGTTTCTTGGTTATATGGAGTCTTTGTATGCTAAGTTTCTCAGATGCTGATTGTAGTAGTTACGTACTCGGGGTGTGGGCAATTTCATTGTCTCCTGTGGAATTGGAATGGCAAGGATCTCTTGAAGCTTATATCATGTCCCCATGGTATGCACTTTTTAATTTAATTTTTCCCCAGTATTTTATTGAGTCTCTTGATGATCCAGGCTTCAGGCCAGTAGGGGAAGTATCTCTAGATAGAAACCAGTTGCAGCTAAAGCAGGTGGTTAGATACAATACACAATGGTGGACTGAGGCCCCAGCCTTGATTAATGTGGCTAGGGGATCTCTCAGTTAGATGCACTGAGTTTTATCAGGGTGAAGAGTAGGAACTAACTCAGCTCTCCTGTCAGGCCAGCGAGAAAGTTACCCACCTCCCAGCCTCACTCCTGTCCTAATGTTTCGGCTGTTCACATCAGACAGGCACCTCTTTTCATCTGTAGGGCTGAGGGATGTTGATGCTCCATGTGGAAAGGAATTATGATTCTGCCTCTTTTGCAAGCCTAAACTCGGAGAGTGCGTCTGTGAGGATGCAGTCACCATGAATTGTTCCAAGAGGGCTATCTATAGGTGCATTCATGCTGAGTTCCCATGGAAGACGTTCCAGTTGTGTCTATGGTGGTTGACAAAGTGGAGAACAAGGACCCTTTCTCCACAAGCCTTCACGAGCATGCAGGCTGCCTTCCTGTTGGGGTAGAGGTTCAGACTTTCCCTGTTGCACCCAGCACTGCATTTGTGTCTCTGCTGCAGAAAGATGTGGGACTCAAGCCCTGCTGTCCAAATTCTTTTGTCCCTTGGGGTGTTCCCTTGATGTGGTGCTCTCCCCCTTCCCCTAGATATAGGAGGTCTTGATAGCCAGACTACAGTGATTGCTATTGCTCTTCTGGGTCTAGCCACCCAGTGGGGTTGCCACTCTCCAGGCTGGTGCTGGGAAATGTCTGCAAATGATCATCCGGTGATGTGACCTTTCTTCAAGTCTCCCAGCAGTGGGTACTCCAGCTGTGATAGAGGTGGCAGGGGAGTGACGTAGACTCTGTGAGATTCCTTGGTTATAGATATGCTTAGTGTGCTGGCTTTCTTGAATGCCGGTTTTAATTGTGGTTAACTTTCACCTGGATAGGCTCAGGACCTCTGGTGGCTAGAGTATTATGGGCATTGGTGATAGCTAAGGTCATTTAGCCATTTTCTCCTTCCTGGGCACAGTGTTATTCCACCTGTAGATGCTGTAGTGGGCTGCATCAGCTAGTTCCAGCCACGACGTGGTGCTTGCAAGAGAGCACCAGCTGCAGTACTAGCTGTGGGATTTGAGCTAGCCCTAAATTGCCTAGGGGAAGTAATCTGGTTTCTGAGGCAATGGGCAGGGCTGTAAAGCTCCTACAAGTTTGTGTCCTTTGTGTTAAGCTACCTAAGCTACCAGGGTGGGTGCAGGGATACATACCAACAGGTGGGGATAGGGTTGAGCAGATCTGTGCTCTGACTGTCCTTGAGTGGGGCCAGCCATGGTTCCTTTGAGGGTCAGGGGTGGTTCTCAGGCAGTGGGGTAATATTCCAGAGGTAGTATAACTGCCTCTGCTGCACAGAAGAGTTCACAATGGGAGTGGAGTGTAGCAGGCAGCAGTAAGCCTTGCCCAGCTCCCATGCAGTTGGCAAGGCCGATCTCACTCCCTCAGTGTTCTTATTAGCAGCACCAGGTTTAGATCCAGGCAGTCTGCACACAGAACCCAGATCTGTCCCAGGCCATAAGCTTTCCCACCTGGCTTTCTGGCCGTGCCCCTCCTATCTGCCCATGATGCAGATGTGTCTGCAATGCACTTCCCTGTCCCCCCCCACCCCCTGCCCCTGCCGGTTCTGGTCAAAGGAGTTCATCCCTGCTCGAGATTATATCATGAAATTCAGTTGGGAGCAACTTTCACCCTGCAACCCCTTTCTGAGCTAGTTGACCGGCTTCCCCAAGGTCCCCTGTGAGATATATTCAGGTGTGGCTTCCCTCGGTTCATGCTGGAGACTGGGAATGCCTGCAAGGCATTTCCTGCTGCTACTTCTACTTTTATGTTTCTCATCACTCCCTTAAGCAGTTCCAGCTCTGGGTAGGGTTAAGGCCTTCTCCCATGACCTGGATTTTCAGATTCCTGTGTGGGGATGTGTATTCTGAAGGTAGTCTCTCCCACTCACACTCTGAGGATTTATAGTTTTTCCCCTGTCTCTTGGAGTAGACTTCAGCCTTCTGCTTCTTTCAAAGGGTCTGTGGATTCTTGCAGTTTTCCTGTTGAGTTCCTGTATTGCTCCTTGGAAAAAAGTTCACAGTGCAAATCTCTACACACTATTCTGTCCTTCCCAGTGGGAGAGGCACGCTAACACTGCCTCCAATCTGCCATCTTCTGGATTTGCTTCTATAGCCCTATGGACTTCTGTCGGCAGGTTTTATACTGGGCTGTGCAATTTGACCTATAAGCCAGTAGATGGTGTTTATGGGTAAAAGCTGGCTGTGGGTGATGTGGCCAGATATATAATTGATCCTTGTTTACCAGGAGAAGCTCTCTATTGCCTCAGGCAATGGGGTGATCCATGGAGTGCACAGTGGTCTGAGCTCCCTGCTTAGCTCTGGGTGGGCAGGGGGCAAGATGGATTGAGCCAGACTGGACAGGCTCATTTACAGCTCCCCTGGTGTTGGGCACAAGTAGCAGTGCTGAGGGAAAATCCAGTGGGTGGCCATCAGGTGCCCAGTGATGTGCCTAGGCATGGAGCTGGGAAATCTCCTTGGCTCCCAGTTCTCTGCACAGGCAGAGGGGTACCTCAACTCCTGATCAGGAGAGTGGGTTTGGGTGCTCCAGGTATCTGTAAGTCTGCCTGGGCTTGGAGTGCAAAGGGCTCTGCTATACTACAATCTCTGCACAAGAAAGGTGGGGTGGCTCAGGCTGGTAACCCAAATGAGCAGGCACTTCAACTACCTGGAGATATGCCTGGGCGTGGGTGGAGAGGACCCCACTTCACCATGGTCTCTGCACAGGAAGGGCAAGCTGGCTCAGTCTGCTGATTCAGGTGAGTGGGTGCTCTGAATGCTTGGAGATCTGCCTGGGCATGGAGTGGAATGGGCTCCACTGTACCATACAGGAAGGGTGGGGCAGCTCAGGCCGCCAATCTGGGCAAGGAAATGTGCCGGATACCTGGAGATCTGTCTTGGTGTGGAGTGGAGAGAGTTCTCCTGCACCAGGATCTCAGCAGAGGAGGGATGGAGAGACTCAGGCTGCTGAACCAGGCAAGCAGGAGCTCTCAGTGCCTAGAGACCTTCCTGAGCATGAAGCAGAGAGGGTCCCCCTGCTCCAGGATCTCTACATAAAGGGTGAAGCAGCTCACACTACCAGTCCAGGTGAGCAGGTGCTTTGAATGCCTGGAGATGTGCTTGGGTGTGGAGCACAAAGGGCCCTGTTGCACCACAATCTATGTCCAGGAAGGGAAGCATGGCTCAGGCTGCCGGTCCAGGCAAGCAGGTGCTCTGAATGCCTGGAGATCTGCCTAGGCACGGAGTGGAGAGGGCCGTACTGTACCATGATGTGTGCACAGGAAGGTTGGGGCAGCTCAGGCCGCCAGTCTAGGAAAGCGTTTGCCCTTACTGCCTGGAGTCCTGCCTGGGAGTGGAACAGAGAGGGCCCTGCTGCACCATGATCTCAGGGGAGCAGTCTGGTGCACTCAGCAATGACACATGCAGACTGATTCTATGTTGCCAAGCTGGCCCTGGCTGCAAATCTCATTGCCCAGGAGAAACTTCAGCTGTAGCAGCTCTCTCCTCCCACCCCAAGCCTGCAGTTGAGAGGAGCACAATTCCAGTGCCTGCTGCTGAGGCACTTTCCGCAGTTCTGACGGTGGAAGTCCCTACCCCACTCCAGAGCAAGTGCTCCAGTCTCTCAGTTCTGGATCTAGGAAATGCCTGCAGGTTTTTCTGGTGTCTTTTCCTCTCAGCACCTCCAAGCCTGTCCCCAAGATAGCTCTGGGGCTTGGGAGAAACATCATTCTTTGCCTTGACCTGGGTTGCTTGGTTCCCCAGTGGAAAGGTAAATTACAGAGGGAGACTCTTTCTCAGGTACTGGGGCTTCACTTACATCAGCTGGATGCCATCACAGGGTCTGTTTGCCTGCATTGTCCTCCCTGAGATCTGGAACATCCTTCATGATTCCAGTGAATCCCCATTTTCCTTCTTGAATTAAAGCTCAGAGAGTTGATCTTTTTGCACTATGTTGCTATTTCTAAGTGGCTGAGGCACACTAAAAGCCTGTAATATACCATATTGGAACTGCCCCCTGCCCCCCCTCCCCAAAAAAGGAGTTGAGTTTTAATCTTCATTCACCACTGACTCTTTATGTTTCTTTACTGCTGTTTACAGAGAAGAAGAGAAGAAGTTTGGAGTTGATCCCCTTGACTGCTCGAATGGTGATGGCCCACCTGGTGAACCACCTGGGGCACTACCCCCTCAGTGGGGGCCCTGCCATACTGCACAGCCTTGTCAGTGAGAACCACGACAATGCCCATGTGGAAGGCTCTGAGCTGTCCTCTGAGGTGTTCAGAAGCCCAAACCTGCAGCTGTTTGTATTTAACGATAGCACCCTCATCTCCTACCTTCAGACACCCACAGAAGGACTGGCAGGAGGATCACCAGTGGGCTGTCTCTCTGATGTGAGAGTAATTGTGAGGGATATCTCAGGGAAGTACTCTTGGGATGGTAAGGTTTTATATGGACCTTTGGAAGGCTGCTTAGCACCCAATGGAAGAAATCCTTCGTTTCTGGTTTCAAGCTGGCATCATGACACATTTGGACCTCAGAAAGACTCTTCTCAAGTTGAGGAGGGGGATGATGTTCTTGACAAATTACTTGAAAACATTGGCCATACAAGTCCTGAATGCCTTTTACCATCACAGCTAAATCTAAATGAACCTTCCCTACCCCCATGTGGCATGAACTATGACCAAGAGAAGGAAATTATCGAGGTCATTTTGCGCCAAAATGCTCAGGAGGATGAGTATATCCAGAGTCATAACTTCGATTCTGCAATGAAAGTCACCAGCCAAGGGCAGCCCTCCCCAGTGGAGCCCCGAGGACCCTTTTATTTCTGCAGGTTATTGCTTGATGACTTGGGAATGAATTCTTGGGACAGAAGGTAACAATCCATGGTAGACCTCCAGTTATTTTATTATTTTCATGTACTTGTATTTTTTATCAGTTTGTAGTTGGGGAAGAAGAAAAGATTGGAGAAGAGAGAAGAGTGGAGATTTTTCTTTATTTTAACATTTGCAGCTTATTTTCTGCTACTAAATTAAAGCTAGAAATGAAATTATGCTGTACTGGTGTGCAGACTGAATTCCAAACATGTTGGATATTTTAAAGGATATCAAACATTGTGGGGGGGGGGGGGCGGTGGTAGTGGTGGTTGTTTGTTTGTTTTTTGTTTTTTGAGACAGAGTCTTGCTCTGTTGCCCGGGCTGGAGTGCTGTGGTGTGGTCTTGGCTCACTGCAACCTCCGCCTCCCAGGTTCAAGCAATTCTTCTGCCTCAGCCTCCTGAGTAGCTGGGATTACAGGCGCCTGCCACCATGCCTGGCTAATTTTTTGTATTTTTAGTAGAAATGGAGTTTCACCATGTTGGCCAGGCTGGTCTCGAACTCCTGACCTCATGAGTCACCCGCCTTGGCCTCCCAAAGTGTTGGGATTATAGGTGTGAGCCACTGCACCTGGCTGAGAGTGTGTGTTTTAATTATTGCTTTGTCCATTATTGTTTCTGCCTTCATGCAGGAAGCAAATGAACTACAAAGGTGAATAAGCCACAGTCTAACCTTAGGTCTGATGTGGGAGATAGACCTAATACAACTCTGATAAAGGATAGAATGACCCAGGAGTTCATGAGTAATGATTAAATCCAATGGGAAGTACAGAGCAATGGAGAAGACTTTGTGGAAAGGGGTGGATTTGAGCTGCACCCTGATAGTGGAGTGGAGTTTTTAAGAACAGAGGCGGGGAAAAGGGATTCACAGCAGAGCTGACACTGGAAACAGACATAGTCACACAGTCACATGCATATAAGTCACAACACTCACCAAAGAGCCATCTGTGTCACTGGGTAGTAATGGGATGCCAGTGGAATTTTTATACCTTTGCATGTCTTAAGGAGAATGGAGTTCATTCTGTAGGTTTCTATCACAAATCTTTTGTGAGTGAGGTGGTAGAGGATGGGTGACAGGTATTTTTATTAAATTACTGATTGAAAAGCGGCAAAATGGTTCTGTAATCACATGGTTTTTCTTCCATCCTTTTTTCTTTATAGGAAGAATTTTCATCTGTTGAAGAAAAATTCAAAATTATTGAGAGAGCTAAAAAATTTGGACTCCCGCCAGTGGTATGTGAAAGTATATCAAATCACTTTTTTCCTGTTTGTCTCTGGGTATTCTTGGATAACAGATACAACTGCAGGAATGAATACACTTACTGAGACATCCAAGGATAGTTCTGTAACCTAGCATCTGGTGACATTTGCGCATGCCATACCTTTGGTGTTTTTTACTATAAGGAATAAACTTTCATGTTTGGTACACTAAAAAGAGGTCACCACTCCCACCTAATCTGTACTTTTGATTGTCTTTCTTTGGGGCTGCCAGAATTCTCATTTGATCTCTGCAACCACCTCTTTATGATGAAGAAAAAGTTTACCTAGGTTAAACAGCCCATGGTTGCTCATACCATATTATCTAAAGCCAAGTGAGTCTGACTTCAAAATCCATGCTGTGTACCAAGGCGCTAACATTCTGTACTTGTGGCTTCATAGTGTTGGAAAGGTTAAAACCAGTGTATTGTAATTAATAACTCTCTGTTAATAAGCCTCATTGTCCAAAGCTGGCCAGACTCTCAGATCCACCCCTGTTCTGTACTATCTCAGAAGCGTTTCTATAGATGAGCTCACAACCATGAAAAGTGTTTGATTTGGGGAATGTGTGTTTCCAAAATCATCTAAGTCAAGAATAAGTATAGTACTTGGTACATAACAGATGTTTCAAAGTTTTGAAGAGAATAAGCTGCCTCCTTAATCTTTAGTTTTTAAAAAAACCTCTTTTTTATTAAAAAAAAAAAAAAAAACAACAACTTCATTCCCCTTTTATTCCGCTTAGGAATATTCTGATATTCTCTGAGCTCTCAAATTAAAAATTCAGGTTGTTTTCCTCAAGTTTATTTTTCAACTCTTCACACTATATTTTATTCATTACATTTTTCTTACTACTCGTTAACTCATAAATTTTTAAATCCGTTTTGAGCTATATGTTTTTAAAGGGTGGTGCAGTTGCTGGCTGAGAAGTAAGAAGGAAGAAAGGAAGTAACAGAGTCCTGCTTTATCTTGACCAAAGTCATATCCTAGAATTTCAGAAAATTACTAGAGCTCTTTATTCTATTCATTAAATCCTTCATTCGTCCACTCTCACGCTTCTCTTCTAAATCGTGAGCTTCTCCTGCTTGCACTTACAGTGATGAGTTATAGCCTGCTGAATGAATATTTTCACCATCGTGTGTGTTTCAGTGGCTTTGTGATGGTGTTATTGTTTATTTTAAAGTTTTGATCAAAACTCAAAGTGACACATGCTTAAATTTTATTGTCAAGCAAACTCTTGGTTCATGTCAGTATTATTTGCATATCACCTTGACAACTGTGTTTCTTCTTTGGTGTTTTGAATTCTTGAATTGGATGTAAACCCAACTGGCAAAGTCCAGTTGGAATTTTCTTTTAAACACTTGGAAGATTATATTTCAGAAAGGTCCTTTGGTGATGTCACTAAGGACTGAGTAGATAAAATAATATTTAACTTACAGCTGTGTATTGTTTCCATCCTTCAGAAGCATGTGGTATTAAGATGGATTTGTTTGTATTGACCATTTTATGGGAATCAGAAGGGCATAAGGTTTTTTTTTTTCTTTTTTTCTTTTCTCTTCTTCACCCTTCTACTTTCCCACCTGTCTCCCAGGTCACTCAGGACCTCTTATTGCATCTCATATTTACACACATGTTGAGGCATGAACTGTTTCGTGTATGTTTCCAAGTCTTGGGAATGTGACAGGGTGGCTGTTCCAAACCTGATTCCCTCTGCAGAAGGGGATATGAGGGCCTTTTTTCCTAGGTGGCCTTACTCTTCTCTGGAGAGTAATAAATATTTCAGTATCAAGAAATATACATATATTTTTTTAAAAACACAGAATTAAAACATTCATTTGTAATTTTACCTGGATAAAGGAGCCATTCTCAGTCCAGAAGCCTGGAGCGCCATTGCCATTTTAAATGTCTTTGTTTCCTGACTTATCAGGTGAAACAGTAAAAGATTTGAATTTGAATAATTTTTTAAAGGCATTAGAAATGAAAAACCTGAAGCTGCCATTTCTCACCTTATCCTTCACTGTATTCCATTTCCTGATTATTCTTGTGATTCCTTTTCTCTAGAGGAACATAGATCAACTTTTCTATGGAAATTCTGTAAGGGATTTATTCTGAAGAACTCAGGGATTCACCATCCTCTCCCTCCTTCCTTCGGTATTAAATAAGCAGTCACTTGGGTTCCACACTCAGCTTTTTAAGCATATGCTGAATTATTCCAGGCTTCTTAGTATTAAGTGAATACTTGGTTTCATGTAATTGCGGTCAATTTGTTGAGTGTTAATGCACTTTAGTTGCATGGGGTACAATTGAATTAGCTCCCTGGGGTACTGTTGCAGCGAAATACAGCTTTGAATAGCTGAGTGGCAGTCCCCTCCCTGCGCCTTGATCAACCTTCACTTAAAACCCCAACTCCTGGATTTAGTGTCTTCGACATCAAATGGGTATCATTTTAAGGTGAAGGGTGTTTTGAAGATTCTTTTTGAAGAAACCAGAAATAAGTCTGGTACTCCTCAGCTTTGAGAAATCTAGACTGCCTTGTATTTTGGTCAGGTAGCAGGTAAGAAAATACCTTGTCTGTCAACTTTCATTTAGAACATTTCTGTTTAATTCTGTTATCAATTTATCTCGCTGCTCTTGATGCATAGTTCCTTCTTAACATGTTCTTTGGAAAAGTTGAGGCTATCTTGCAGCTATGGTCTAGATTGTCAATGCTCTGATGAATGTACATACAAATCACAGTGGGCTTCCCTTTTAGATATAAATGCCTTCTTGCCACTACATGGGGAGGTGGATGTTAAAATCATGCTTTCCTTTGGCTTTTTCATGTGACAGCACAAGGAAACTGAGCTATTCTGGTCTATTCCTAATAAGAAAGAACAGTGCATTCTAATGAGGAAGGGGAGATTGTTAATTTCATGTATGTGTGTTTCTGAATTACCTGCTCCTTCATACATTGGTGTACTTCTTATGGATGTGAAGTGCTGTTGATGTTGCTAATTACCATTTCAAAAGCATGGTTCTAATAAGGCCAGACAGCTTCTGCATCCTAGCAGGCTCTCTGTGTACTAACATTTTGGAGAACGTGAAATTTGATGAATGTTTACAACTAAAGGTCATCTTTCCTCACACTCACATTGGTCAGCCCCATCATTCAGGCTTAGCTCTCTTGTGCTCCCACATTGAGTTAATGAGGGCTCAAGGACTTAGGAACAGCTGCAATGGAAAAAGCTTAGATTTTTAAGGAGAATAAACTGAAACATTGTAGATAAACCTGAGGTTTTTATGTATGTAAAGTCTATAAAACAAAGAAAAATTAAATGCTGAGGATTTTTTACATATGTAGAGAGACCTGCAGATAGAAATTGAATAACTCTACTTCTCCACCTTTGTTGAAAGAGGCAGTCTTTTAGGTCTTAGGTTATGGTTTCTGTTATTATCCAAGTGCCCAAATTTTTATAGCACTTGGAATAGGCTAGTCAGATTCTACGCCATTGGTGTCCCCTGCCTGTTGCTCAGGGCAGTGAATGGTGTGGCACTTTCAGGGCTTCCTGCTGCATGAGGACAAGCTTTCTAAATTTATTTTGAGGACATATTAAAGATATTGGGGCTGGGCATGTTGCTCAAGCCTATAAAGCCAGCACTTTGGGAGGGCAAGGTGGGTGGATCACCTGAGATCAGGAGTTCAAGACCAGCCTGGCCAACATGGTGAAACCCTGTCTCTACTAAAAATAATAATAAAAAATTAGCCAGGTGTGGTGGTTGTGTGATGGCACGCACCTGTAGTCCCAACTACTGGGACAGCTGAGGCACAAGAATCACGTGAACACAGGAGGCGGAGGTTGCAGTGAGCTGAGATCACGCCACTGCACTCCAGCCTAGGTGATGAAGTGAGACTGTCTAAAAAAAAAGATATTGTGAAAAGATTAAAAACATTAAAGATTATCTTTAAGATGTATTAAAGATTACGTGAAAGTGTCTTTTAAAATAGAAGCAACCTAAATGAGGATTTGGGCTATGACATATTAATATAATGGAATGTTGTTACAATCATTAAACCTCTGTTGTAGAAGCACATGATATAAAAGTCTTCACACTAAAAAATGGTTGAAATGGTGAATTTTATGATATGTATATTTTACCACAATAAAAAAAAGTGTTCACAGATATTGTAAGTGAAAAAATCTGTTGTAAAGCAGAATGTAGTAACTTCTCACATGTGCATGCAAAAGTGTATCCTAAAACGGTGTAACGGCTGTGTTCTTTGCTTATCTGTTGAAATTGCTAGTGATTTATATTCTTCTCTTTTCTTTCTGTATTTTCTAATTCTTCTTCCAAATATGTTCATTACATATAACCTATGGGGGAAGTGAATAAGCTATCTTAGTAAAAGGAGAGAACTCTCTTCCTCCAGTTATTTGTGTAACTTTTTAATTGAGAGTTAATTAGTTCTGATTATTAAGTAGAGAAATAATGCACACAGAAGGAAATCTTAGAGAATTTGTTAAAATATGGAGCTCAGTTCCACCAATATGATATCTAATCAAATTACAGTGTTGAAATATTAAACAATTTGACAGAAAAAAGTATTTCCGTATTTAAGAACTTTACAGTTATTCCTATGAGATTTATCAGAATGTAGTATAAAAAAAGGAGAAAGGTGGAACCGCTCTGGAAGTGGACATCGAAACTTTAAAAAAACCAAAACTCTTGGATGATTGGGCTAGGGAATGAATGATTCGTAATTAAAACTCCGTTTGAATAAGAACAATGTTTTCATCTCTAAACTATCACCAAATGCTTGGTACAGCCCCAGGTATTTTGTCGCATTACTCCAGGGTATAATTTGTAGAAATTTATTATTAATACATTCAAATGTATCACCTATATATCTGGTCAGTAACAGAGATTTAACTGAACACCTACTGTATACAAAGCAGTATGCTAGATGTGCAAAAGAGAAAATGGCAGGGCTTCTTTTTTCAAAGTGCACATCACTTTTGCTTGATTTAATACCAGAGTATCCCAGATCTATCTTGGAACAAGCAGATGGAGGGTTTTGGCTAAAAGGGGTTCCCCTGACTAGCTGTCCACCTTGTCAGGCACCCTCAGAATAGTCAGAGCCCAGGAGTTAGTAAACCCCTTCATGAAGAAAATACCTAAGTGTGTTCTGCTTGGAAGGATATTCTTTTTCTCATAAAATCGTGGCATATTTTATAGTTCCAATCACAGAACCACCCAGTAGCCTAAAGTGTGAGTTAAATACGGACAGTCACATAGATCTATTCACAATTTATATCTATTTGAAATACTTTAAAAGATTATTTTTTACCAAAAACAGAGAACTTACCAAATGTTGTTCCCCAACCTGCTGGTCAGTGTATGTTGTATCTGAGGGTATGGTCTCAGGAAGCAGATGGCCTTGCCGCAGTTCCCATCCCCTGCTTGCTGGGTGTGCTTTTTGTTTCACTTTCTGTGCCTCCTTTCAACCACCTCTGCTAGGGAGGTGATAATAATACTCATCTCTTTAGCACGTTTGTGAAGAATAAATGAGACTATGTGTCAGACCATCTCAGAACACTGACTGACCCCTAGCAGGTTCTCAGTAAATGTAAGCTCAGTGGTAGAAGTCATGCTGGTCGTATTAATAGTAGTGAAGTAAAATTTTACATATAAGAATTCTAACTCCTTTAAATTTAAAAATTTATAGCCGTGAGACACACAAAATCGCAGTGTTTTACATTGCTGAAGGTCAAGAAGACAAGTGTTCAATCCTCTCTAACGAAAGAGGAAGCCAAGCATATGAAGACTTTGTTGCTGGACTTGGATGGGAGGTAATGCATTTCATTCACTAGGTGTTTATTGACCAGCGCTATTTAAAGATGTGTCCAAAGTAGACATTGTATACGTTTTTACATGTGCTTTTGCATTCAAATATAGCATAGGTAGAGTTCTGGAATTGAAGAATTTATTGGATTTGACATCTATTAGTTGCTTGTCCGTATTTAATATATGAACTTTTGTTTTCCTTTAACTTTCCTCTTAATATTTTTTCATTTGCTTTTTATCAGAACTGAATAGTCAGATGGGCTCTCCCAGCCATAGACAGTTTGTAGTAAGAGAAGACAAATGTGGGCAGAGAAGCAATGGCTTTGGCCACAGTATGGAGATTGAAGAAGAAGTCAATGACTTGATGGGTGAAAAGATGAAGAAAGAGTTGGATGAAGTCAAAAGTTGCAATGAAAATATAATATAATAGCCATGATGGTTTAGCTATCAACCTATTTCCCTAAGGTAGATCTCAGGATGATTGATGTTGGAAAAGTTTATTTTTTTCTTTATTAAATGGTACTCTGACATACAGACATATATACATTTATACACACACACACACACACACACACACCCCTTTCCCCCCAAAACATAAACCTAAACAAAAAATTCCTAGAATCTGAAAGGATTAGTAGTTACAATGGAAATCAACATATCTAAAATAATTTACTTTTTTTTTTTCTTTTTTTTCTTTTTTTAGACAGAGTCTTGCTCTGTCACCAGGCTGGAGTGCAGTCGCATGATCTCGGCTCACTGCAACCTCCACCTCCCAGGTTCAAGCTCTTCTCCTGCCTCAGCCTCCCAAGTAGCTGAGACTACAGGCACGCACCACCACGCCCAGTTAATTTTTTTGTATTTTTAGTAGAGACGGGGTTTCACCGTGTTGGCCACGATGGTCTTGATCTCTTAACCTGGTGGTTCACCTGCCTTGGCCTCCTAAAGTGCTGGGATTACAGGCGTGAGCCACCGCATCCGGCCAATTTCCTTATTTTTTATTAGTTTCTTGAGTACCTGTGCTGTGAAAAACTTTCTGGGTGCCTTTGAGAGCTCAGTGCTAGCAAGGGGACTGAGGTAGGGATGGGGACAAGGTAAGAGTACATGAGAGTCAAAACAACATCCTTACTAAGGCAAGTAGGTTTGAGTCTAACAGTTTGCTGCACTTCCAGTAAATCATTGTTCTTACAAGTAAGGCTACTTCTAATTTGTCATATAATATAGTTATTTAATATATTTTTAAGTCATACATTATCAGTTAGAGTTTTAAGAGTATATGTTTACTGTATTTGGCACGGAGGAGATTCTTCTATTTCTTTTTTCATATGTGTTAGAATAGGTATTTTACTGAAAGAATACTAGTCTATGAAAAGTTAGACATTTTGGATAAAGACACTAAGAAGTGAACACTCATGCCGTAACTTTAAAATGAATTATGACTTATAAACTTTCAGCAGTGGTGTAAAGTGGTTGTTCAACCCTTTTGAAAGGCAGTTTAGCAAAGTTTGCTGAATATTTTCAATATTGGTACCTTTTGACCCGGCGTCTTAGAAGAACACTCCTTTGAGTGTGCTTTCTGATTTAAAAAAGCAGAAACCCCCAAATTCCATCAATAGGGAACCTATGTATACACACACACACACACACACATATATATACACACATACATTTATACATACAGGTGGGAAAAAAGTTAGAGATTATATACCAAAAGTGTGATAGTGGTTTTATTCAGTTGATATGATTATAGAGCACTTTCATTTTTAATGTTTTTTATTTCTTTAACATCTTAATCTGGTCTAACTTTGTATTACATTTGTTTGTAATCAGAAAGAAAGATATAAAAATGAAAATAATTGATGTTTTTGTGAATTCACAGTCCTGCTTAGTGAAAGAACAGCTCATTTTTGATCCTCACTGTTTCTTCTTTGTGACCTTTGTCAGGTGGATCTCTCCACCCACTGTGGGTTCATGGGTGGCCTTCAGCGCAATGGCAGCACCGGGCAGACAGCCCCTTACTATGCTACCTCGACTGTGGAAGTGATTTTCCACGTTTCCACTCGAATGCCGTCAGACTCAGATGATTCCCTCACCAAAAAGGTAAGGCATCTCCTCGGGCACCATTCTTAGCTGCCCTGGTTTGTTGGTGAGGTTCTCCTAGGACAGACAAATACAAAGGTAGAACGCATACTGAGATGGTTTCCTCTAAACTCTACTACCCTGAGATTAAGGTTTAGGGAAAGAAAGGGTCTTAAATGTTACTTTTGGATCTTCCCTCCGGTGAATATTACCTGATGGAAAATGACATTTTTGATCTCACAGATTGTCAAAGATTACAAAGTATGATAACCCTGTACTAGTGGGGCTCTGGGAAAGCAGGCCCCTCCGAGGCTTGCTACAGAGCGATTTGGCAGCATCTGTCAACTTAAGTGCAGGTGCACAGCTGCCCAGCCGCCCCACTGTTGCCCCTTACCTTTTATTCTTCAACTTGCTCTGTGGCCAGTTTTCCTTAGAATTCAAAGGAAACCTTATCCACCCCTGAGGAACCTCCCCCAGGGAACTTGGCCTTTACCTTCCAACCTGCAGGATGTTTGACTCGGGCGACCCTGTGTTAAAAGTGAGGAGCGCCTTAAAAGAAAAGGCATTTGACTCTAGGAAGGAAACCTCTAATCGGATCTGCTTCTGTAAGCTTCCAGATGAGGAGAACATCTCAGAGCAACTGTGATTTGCACTCACTTGGCCTGCTAGCAGGTGGGGAACCTAGAATTCCCACCTTTCTCTCTTTCTACCACATAAATGCAAGGGACTGAGGGCAGCACCTCACGTGCTGACTAAGGCTGGCCATTGGGGAGTCTACTATGGTGGTTACAGCCAGACCCCGGTGACAGGTGCAACAAGGATCAGATGTATATTCAGTTATTTCATCAGCCTGTGCCTCAGTTTTTCATCTATTAAGTGAGATAAAAAACACAACCTATGTTACAGGGTTGTTGAGTGAAGTAAATGAGATAATTCCTATGAAATTATGAAATTGCTTAGCACGGTGCCTGGGACGATGTCTCTGACCATCATCCCTCATTATTGCCCGTTGGTCTAATTGATTCTTTTTTTCCCCTGCCCCATTAGCCAGGTGCTTTATATTGGCAGATTGGCCTCACTGTACCTGCTTTATTTCTTTATTGCACGGTTTTGCTTTTTCACCACTGCAACCACAGATGTCTCGACTGTGTACAGGCATACCTTGTTTCATTGTGCAGCACTTTATTGCGCTTCACAACATTTTTTACAAATTGGATATTTGTGGCAACCCTTAAACAAGTCTATCGGCACCATTTTTCCAACAGCAGGTGCTCATTTGTGTGTCTGTCTCATTTTGTAATATTCACAGTGTTTCTAACTTTATTATTATTATTATTATCATCATCTCATATGGTGGTCTGTAATCAGTGATCTTTGATGTTGCTATCATAATTATTTTGGGACACCACAAACTGCCCATATAAGATGGCAAACTTAATTGATCCATGTTGGGTGTGTTCTGACTGCTTCACCCACCGGCCATTTAATAACCCCGTGTGGCCTCAAAGTATTCAAGTGAAAGGAAAAATTGGATGTCTCTCACTAGAAATCAAAAGCTAGGAACGATTAGAAGACATGTTGAAAGCTGAGATAGGCCAAAAGCTAGACCTCTTTAAACATTTACCCAAGTTTTGAACATAAAGGAAAAGTTTTTGAAGGAAATTAAAAGTGCTACTCCAGTGAACACATGAATAATAAGAAAATGAAATAGCTTGTTACTGATATGGAGAAAGTTTTAGTGGCCTGAACAGATCAAACCAGCCATAACATTCCCTTAAGCCAGAACCCAATCCAGAGCAAGACCCTACACTGTTCTATTTTATGAAGGCTGAGAGAGACGAGGAAGCTGCAGAAGAAAAGTTTGAAGCTTGTCAAGGTTGGTTCATGAAGTTTGAGGAAAGAAGCTGTCTCCATAAAATGAAAGTGCAAGGTGCAGGAGCAAGTGCTCATGGAGAAGCTGCAGCTTATCCAGAAGATCTAACTAAGATCTCTGATGGAGGTGGCTGCACTAAACAACAGATATTCAGCATAGTAAAAACAGCCTTCTATTGGAAGAAGGTGCTATCTAGCACTTTCATAACTAGAGAGGAAAAGTTAATGCTTGGTTTCAAAGCTTCAAAGGAACAGACTGAGTCTCTTGTTAGGGCTAATGCAGCTGGTGACTTTAAGTTGAAGCCAGTGCTCATTTACCATTCCCCAAATTCTAGGACCCTTAAACATTATGCTGAATCTACTCTTACCTGTGCTCTGTAAATGGAACAACAAAACGTCTGTTTAGAGCATGGTTTACTGAAGATTTGAAGCCCACTGTTGAGACCTACTACTCAGAATAAGAGATTTATTTCAGAGTATTACTGCTCATTGACAATGTACCTCATCACCCAAGAGCTCTGAAGGAGGCGTAATGTTGTTTTTCATGCCTGCTAACAAAATATCCATATTCTGCAACCCACAGATCAAGGAGTAATTTCAACTTTCAAGTCTTACTATTTAAGAACTTTCATAAGGCTATGGCTGCCATAGGTAGTGATTTCTCTGATGGATCTAGCAAAGAACATTGAAAACCTTCTGGAAATGATTCACCATTCTAGATGCCATTAGAAACATTCATGATTCATGGGAACAGATCAAGATATCAACATTCACAGGAGTTTGGATAAAGTAGAGTCCCACCCTCATGGATGACTTTAAAAGATTCAAGACTTCAATGAAGGAAGTCACTGCACATGTAGCAGAAATAGCAAGAGAATTAGAAGTGGAGACTGAAGATGTAGCTGAATTACTGCAATGTCATGATAAAATTTGACTGGATGACGAGTTGCTTCTTATGGATAAGCAAAGAAAGTGGGTTTCTTGAGAAGGAATCTGTTCTCAGTGACGGTGCTATGAACATTGTTGAAATGACAACAAAGGATTTAGAATATTCCATAAATTTAATTAGTAAAGCAGTGACAGGGTTTGAAGAGTATTACTCCAATTTCAAAAGAAGTTCTGCTGTGGGCAAAATGCTGTCAGACACCATCACATGCTACAGGAAATCTTTCATGAAAGGAAGAGTCAATCAATGTAGCAATTTCATTATCTTATTTTAAGAAATTGCCACAGCCACCCCAGCCTTTAGCAACCACCACCCTGATCAATCAGCAGCCAACAACATCAAGGGAAAACCCTGTACCAGCAAAAAAAGACTACAACTCACTGAAGGCTCAGATAATCATTAACATCTTTTAGCAATAGAATTTTTTTATTAATATATGTATGTTAAGAAATAATGCTATTGTATATTTAATAGACTATAGTAAACATAAGTTTTAGGCATACTACTTTCCCAGTGCACACAAAAATTTGTGTGATTTGCTTTATTGCAATATTTGAAATATCTAAAAAACCTATTGCAGATATGTCTGGAACCAAGCGTATAATGTCTCTGAGGTGTGCCTCTATATGATGGGCAACAGTGCATGTGAAACATCAGAACTCGAGTCATAGCCCAATTACAGACGACTTTCATAGCGATCAAGTGTCTCAGATGTACAAAGCACAGTGTGCATTCAAAAACTCAGCAGCCTTTCCCTCTCCTGCCCCAGCATGCTATAATGACCTCCTGGGGGTGGCAGTACTACAGTCAGAAGCGCTGACCACGTGCTGGTTCCCACAGGTCTTGGAGGAGCTGCCTCAGTGTTGGGTTTTGATGGCTGCCCCTGGCTGTAGAGCTCTCAGCAATGGGAACTCTGCCCTCCAGGAGTTCACTAGGATCTCAGACTCTAGTGTAGCTTACCAGGATCCTAAGCTGGGCTGACACATCTTTTTTATTTGCAGTACATTGTAAATTATTTCTACTTTGCAAATGTGTCACCATATTCTATACTTTTCTTATGACTGAGAATTATTTTGTTAAAAGATATAATTTTTAAAATATAAAATATTTTTTAAAATTATTTCTTAAGTAAAGTAGGACTGTTTTTTCTTTGTTGAGAAAAGACATGTTTTCTTGTTAAAATGCCAGGCTGTAAATAATGTTCCAAGACTTGGCCTGGTTGAAAGATTCCCTACTGTAATAATCAAAATTCAGCTGATACCTTTTGCAGCTCTAAGATTTAGCATCATTAGTGATAAACTCTCTTTATCAGATGTCTCACAGCTAGACTAAAAATCAGTCACAGTAACAGCAGCCCACAGTTCCTTGTCTTATTCTAACTAAATTGTCCCTAACAGCTTAAAAATGAGCTACAAAATTCTAAAGTGATTCATGCTCTCTTCTGCCCCCATCACGGGGGGACTTTTTCAATTCTGCAATCCGGTTGCAACCCCATACTGAACTCTTGATCCTTCACTGCAGAAATTTGTTAGCTCTAGCTAGATTAGATTTTTCACAGCTAATCTAACTGCTGTAGGGGTTTGCAGAGTGGGGACAGAGCTGTGCTATTGGATTTGTCCAATTCATTTGACTCCAGGACTATAATTGCACTTATGTCTTACAAGGCTTTTATAGCCTCAGGCTGGCCAGCCACATAAAAAACAAATTGGCAGTGATACAGTACGAGTGAAAAGGGATGAAAGGCCCACATTATCAGTCTCCAGGCAGCGCTGTTCTGGCAGGAAGTTTCTTGGTTAATTTACAAATAAAACTTAGATTTTAGGATGGGCACACTGTCAGCTGAACAATGGGGATGTCAGGCCTGACTGTTACTTAGTAAAAGTAGCAGCCGGGCCCACTGAGGAGCAGGAATTCTTCAATCAAACAGACGACTCCTTCTGGAGCCAGCTGGCGATGTAATGCAATTAGTCGAGAAAGGAGGTCAGCCTATTAGGTGTGTACCATGACCAGTGTCACCAGTGGCGTGCAGCCTGGCAGCAGCAACAGACAGAATGGCTTAGGCAAAGGGACTTTAAAACTCTGTTCGGATGAAAAGTTGTGGAGCCGGGATTGATTTCTTAAGACTTAAAATCTGAGCATTTGTTCTGAGCCTGATGAGTCTCCAGGCATTCTGGAGCTTGTTGTGCAGTTGAAGGAGTAGCTAACATAAACACCGGCTCCATTCCAGGAGACTCATCATTCTTCTCCAGTTACATAGGAACCAGATCAACTTGACTTGTATGCACTCACTGAACTCACTGGTGGGTTTCTAATTTGAGGGCCTCTAATCACAGTTCTTTAATATTCACAAAATTAGGTCTCTATGATGGACTCTTCTTTAAATTGGGCAACACTTTGAGGTGTCCAGAGTATTCTGTATGTTCTGATGTGGTTGACAGTTTGCCCAGATGAATTTTATTTATTTTACCTACCTGTTTTCTTATAGGCAAAAGAAGCCATATTTTTGCCCTTTACTCCGGATTTATCAGCCAGTTGTTCCCATGGCCTTAGCTTTTAGTTTTGTGATTTGGCTAATTAAACTGTGACGTATCCAGAAGTCTGAGTCACATGTCACTGAAAGCAGCTTTGAGATGATGAATATATCATATCATTACCACACAAAAATAGCTTTTCCTTAGTGACAGAATTGCCACACTGGGAGGATGGGTCTATTAGTGTGAAACTACCCTCCCTTGCTGTAGTTCTGAGAATACAGATGTAAGTAAAATTAAGAGATACTTAGCTTATGTAATTGAGTAACCCAATTTAAAATGGAAAAGTAACTACAAAATTTCAATAATCACGGTATTACCTCACAGTTAATGTTTTGCAGCTAATATTTGTGGATCAAAAGGAGCTGTCACAGATACTAGAGCACCCACATAGGGTGGTGGCAGCACGTTTGAGGGGTGTTTAGTAGGTGTTTCCATTCAGACATTTGTGCAAGCATTATACCAAGGGACCCAGAGCCACTCTGAAGCTGGCTGTCTTTGCAGGGTGAGGGCTGTAAGTGTGAACTCTGGGATAGCCCCAGTTCTCACAGTTGCCTTCTGCAGGTCTTAATTCCCCTTACAGTTCCAGTTAGATACTATTCATATTTCCCTGAGAACATACTTATATTAGGTTCTTGGTGATGCTGGCTACCATGTTTTTACTTCAAAAGGACTGAATTTTAGGAGTGTATTGTAATGTCTTTGCATGTTTTATTAAAAAGAAAAAGAAAAGCTGTAGTAAATATAGGAATGGAGAAATAGAAAGAGCTGTTCAGCACTACTAGGAGGCCCGGTGTTGTATTTTGTTTAAAACTATGTAAGGGGTTGGCTACACCTTTTGCCTGCTATTCTTTTACCTTTATATGGGAAGGGGGAAGGAAAAAAATGATGTACTGGGTAATTTTGCCATTAGAAAGTCATAGATACCATTAAATTGTTCTGGATCATCATGACTTGTGCTCAGCACCAGCAGTTGCATTTGTCTCAGAGCCCACATTCAAACACAGTTGAATCGTGCACCCCTCAGTATAGGTACAATGGTATAGGCACAGGTCACTTTTTAAATAATTGGCCGTACAGTCATTCCCAGAACTATGAGAGTGAAGAATAAACAGGCATTGGAGCAAATGAGCTTCCTTTTGTAGCCTTATAAATAGAAAAGAGGCTATGTTGGGGTCACCTGAGATTTTCTTTTTGTGGTCCAATAGTCTAAAGAAAATTGTATTTATGCTAACACGTTTTAAATACATAGTATTCCAGAACATCTTTTTAAAAAATACTTTAAGATAATACTAAAAATGTTAGATTTGACACATCTCTATTTTATTAAACTGCGTCTGAATTTAGTCATTTTTAATGTTCATCTGTTAGATAAGGAAGCAAGAAATACTTGTTCGTGGTGCTGGAGAGTAGATAAGGAAGCAAGAAATACTTGTTCGTGGTGCTGGAGAGCGTCCTCCTGCAGTTCCATGTGAGAGAACAAGAATCTCAAATTCCCAGAAGATGTCAGAGGACCTTACCAGCCTTTGTGGTTTCAGAACTTCAATTTTGGCCAACATTTTAATCTTTATAATCTAGTTTATTTTAGTCACACTTTGATTCTTTGTCACTTAAATGATTTCGTGTGCAGCTTTCTCCAGCTTGAGATGGTACAGTCATTGTGCAGGAGATTGATCAAGGGTGTTCTTACACCTGACAAAGCCTGGGCCTGAAAGAACTCTCAAGAGGTCTTGTTTTGGAGATCTTTCTAGTAAGGCCTCCTCAAAGAGGCCAGGAGTCTGTGATTTGCTTTTGTTCTTTGCAGACTCTTTGTGTATAAGATGATAAAACAAGTGGGCTACACTGCTAAGCAATGACAGTAAAGTAACTTTGGGTGCAGGCTTAGGTAGCTTTGAAACAATGAAAATGACCCTGAATTGGAAGCCCCAGTGCATGTCCCGGGCCTGCTCTGTCACTGCTGCTCATGCACCCTCGGGTAGGTGGTGCCTGCACCTTCCTGAGCGCCCATTTCTTTTTTGTACAATAAGATGAAGATGATGTCATCTACCTGAGAGAGTTAATGGGAAGATTAAATGAGACAATATGTGTGAACATGCCTTCTATACAGTAAGCACTCTTTAAATGCTAGGTAGGGGTATTCTTATCAGACTTAAGCAATAGTTATTCATTTCCTAAGCAAAGGTGATTTTATACGTCTATTTCTTAAAGGTTTGTCACAAATCTAGTTTCCTATACATTTGATACCAATTGTGTTGTAATGGCTTATGTTCTCTTATGTTCATATTCTTATGTTCATAGTAACCATTGAATTGAGAGTCTCATAAAGCACAACTGCAATGTGGAATAAAAGACGCATGCTGTTAATTGTTTAGAAACATATTCAGCAATACAAAGCATAGGACTCTGATGCAGGAGTAAAATTCCATTGGAAAATAAATTCTTACAAAGACCTCAGCCCCATCCAGCTGTAATGTGCCTGCGAAGCTTTCATGCCTTATCTTAGTACCAACGCACTAAGAAGATAGGCTGTGTTTTTATACACTTGTGCTTTTTAAAATCCTCACAGAAGAACATCAGTGGTGTAGTCTTTTTTGATAGTGAACTTTTTTTGGCCTTTGAGTTTTATAATTCAATTTGTAAGCCATGACCCCTCATAAACTGCTGTTATCACCCTGATTAATAAAGAGCCAATTTGCTTTTGCAGCTTCGTCACTTGGGGAATGACGAGGTCCATATTGTCTGGTCTGAACACTCCAGAGATTACCGCAGGGGTATTATCCCAACCGCCTTTGGAGATGTTTCAATCGTTATTTACCCAATGAAGAATCACATGTTCTTCATCGCGATAACGAAGAAACCTGAGGTACGTCGTTTTTATTGCATTGTTGTACTGACTCATAAAGCATTTGCCGTGTGATTCACTGTCATTGAAAATCAATGATACAAATATGTTAAAAGGGACTCTCATCCTGTTGTTGAATGTCTTACATGTATCTGAATTATTCATGCTTTATAGGAATTAAATATGAATTGGGATTTTCAAAGAATTTTTCATCATGAGCACAAAATTTTGTTATTGTATTACTATACTTCTTTGGAAATTATAATGTCAAATTTATTATTTTGTAAATGTTTTAAATTTTCTAAATTTTGTACTTTTGAAAAATTGTAACTTGAAATTTTGGGTATGTTGATTAATAATAAGAGTTGAAGGAACCGCATATCACATCTAGCATTTTGTGGAGAACCGTGGGTATGGAATCCAAGCTTGCCTGGTGTACAGGCACTTGCCAGTCCTCTGACTGTGCTAATGGGGTCAATCCTGCAGGATTGCAGTCATGTCCACGAAGAGGCTGGGCCTCTGGAGCACGGCCCATGTGATGAGTTTCAACTATTGGAGCACCTTGCTGCAGAATCAGTTCAGCCATGTCAATTGGTATTGATTATGGGAAGAGCTGGAACAATCCAATGATCTGTGTGCTGTGTACTAAATTGGCTGCAGTTTCGATCCTTGTCATACCTTTAGTGGTATTTTAGCCATGCTTTATATAGCAACTTGTTTTAGTTTTAGAATTACTAATAGAAGGGTGTTTTTAAAGTTCTTAAACATTAGCATATTAAGCCATCTCTCAAGAGGAATGACTTTGTGTTTTTCAGCTTGATAGTAAGTATAATCTTCATTTTCATTTCAAGTTGTTCTCCTGAAGGAGCTGAAAGTTACGCTTCTGAAAACTCTCTTTTAAAGCTTTGAAATAATAGACAACAGATTTATTGTTCATATTAGGATTTATGACCTAATCTAAAGGGTTAAAGTTGTGAGGATTAAATGAGCTAATAAATAGAAAATGCTTCAAACAGTGCATGGTCCAGAGTAAAAGCTACTTAAGCGTTAGCTATTATTCTTCTTCTTACTGTTGTTGTTGTTGTGTTGTTTGTTATTACTACTATGGAGAGAGAATACTTAATGAATTCCAAGTTTAACATGCTTCTTATTCTCAGAGTAGATGCAGTGTGGGTCAACTCCTGAATTCATAAAAGTCCCATTCTGGCTGTTGCAAAGCCTGACATAAAGGGAACCCTCTTTTCTATTCAGGGAACGCAGATGCCAAAAGTCACTTCATATTAAATATTTGCATCATTTTTTATTCTGATGTCCATGTGCGTAAAGTTTTCAATTTTGTCTATGAAAATGTCTCTTAGTGCTAATATTTGTATTTGTCCATGAAGAACACTAGTTTAAAGAATTAAACTGAAAATTTTAATATAAGGGAACCAGTGAATTTTGTGTCTTGTAGCTTGCAAAAAGAGGAAACGTGTTTCTTTAATATTTAGTATGGATTAATTGGCTTTATTAGCTCATTTTCAACATGGGCCTCTAAAATGTCATTTAATGTCACCTTTATTTTTAAATAAAAAACATACAAGGCATTTTAATTCACTTTATAGAATCAAAAGTGATTTTTTAAAATGGTAGTACATTGATAATGCATGAATATAATTATTAACATACCTTGTAAACTTTCTTATAAAATGTTTGCACATTTTATGAATTTGGCTATAAATTCTAACAAGATGAATTGAGCAAATCGCTTTCTTAATAGTTTAATTCAAAAAGCCTAAAGGGAAGAAGAGAATAATGGCCAACTGGAAATTTAGTATTATCCTTACATTTAAAGTACAAACCATTACAATGTAATAAAATTAATCCAGACATTTCCAGGGCAAGTGTGGCTGACCTTTTGTTCACCAACCACTGACCCCAGGGTGAATGCAAGAGGCTTGCGGAGGGAAAGTCTGTTTGTTTGGCTTCAGTCCCTGGTATTTAAATTGCATTCCCTAATCAAATGAAAAGGCTGTCCTCTCTATCAGGTTACAGAATCCATGGCAACATTTGGCCTTTTATATCCATAATGTTAGCCTTTTTGTTTGCATCTAAGTAGAGACACCTGGAGCAATGTTAACATTAACCGATTTAGCATTAATAGCTTCATTATATAAGAATTTCTGATCAGATAGCTGTTACTTTTGTTATATTGCTTCAGCTTGTATTGTTGTCATTTTTTATCTCCCTGCTTGGCAACCAGGCAATGATTTGCAAATTTTTTTTGTCTTGATTAATTAAGCAATATAATTATCAGTAACCGTGATGCAGTCTTTGCTCAACAAAGCTTCTGAGAGAAAACAATGGTAAGTCTGTTAGTATGAATGCATTCCACGCGTCCCAGATGCATGAGGATATTATGGACAATGAGGGGAAAGGCCGCCTGTGAGCGAGGACAAAGGGTGCCACGCAGACTCGACACACTGCACATACCGCCAGGGACATGCTGCGGGCTCCCTGGGACACAGACGCCTCGTTAGATTACAGCTAGTCAGCAGAGATTAATTCTCAGCCATTTGGTGCAATAATTTACCCATTCCCCAGCCTTTTAACTAGTGTTCCTTACTGTGGAAGGGAAGGCTTTGTACTCAAAAGGTTTATTTAACCTTGCCTACTTTTAGGGATCTCCACCAAAATCATTAATTTTTTCTTAGAAATTGTAATGACGCAGCTGCTTGAAGTTAAGGAATATTCCTTTTGAAGGACAGGATATGCATAAGTTTCCAAAATTGTAGGTAGAGTCAAAGGCATTCTTCTAGCACCTGTATATTTCATCCGAGTATAGTATGACTCTATGGTCTAAGTACATTTATTTTACTGTTCTCTGGGCAGCCATGCTTCTCTAAGAATAATTTTAATCCTTTTTTGGGAGAGGAAAAAAAAAAAAACCTCATCAGTACACAAAAGTCTTGCTCATTGGATAGAGTCATGCATATTCAAAGTGTACTTTCATTCACTCGGCCTCATTAATAGCGTATGTAATAATGTAGGGCTATTTGTAATACAAGCTTACAGGCAGCATTGCTTCCAAGTCCTTTGAAATTTAGCATATTTCGCTTTTTCATTCCATACACCTCCCTTAAATATACAAATTATGTGCCTGGCAGAATCCGCCTCCTCTTAATAATACACAGCATTTGTGAAATGGTATGTTGAAGAAGTGTGGGTGTGCTTGTGTGAACGCATAAAACCCTCTCATCTGAGAGGGCCTGTTCACTTCTTGAGCTTTGTATTGAACTTCTTTTTTCATTTAAAAAAAAAGAAAAATCAGTGTGCTTAGCAGCATCATTCCATTGTTGAATTACTTTCAAAATAAGTCCATCTCCATAAACATTGACACAATCGTTCTTTGGTCATAGAAAAGAAATGTGTTATTGTTAGACTTATGTTTTTTCCAGCTTTTATTACTAAGTCAGCAGTCAAGGAAAGACTTGCATATAGAGTAGAAAGTGAGTGATTCAAGGGGTTTGTTAAAATGCCCGAGTTGTTCTTCAGAAAAGTGATTCATAGAGCCTCCACACTGCAGTGAGTACCCACACTGCTTTCCCTCCCTTTCAGTATCTGGAAAGTAACACTGGTGTTCAAAGTGTTTGCCTTTAGAAATTTGCGAAGGTAAGTTTTAGTGGTTTTGGCATGTTTGTTTCCAGGCATAGTAGTGACTGACTGGTGACCGGTTGACCAGAGGGTAGATGTTGAGAAGCAGCCTTGAGCAGGAGCAGTTGAGACAAGAGGAAGTTTTGGTGAAGAGTCCTCCTCTTCACCTCAACCAGAGTGTCCCTTTTGTAAATGGAAAACATGCTAAAAGTCCTCTGAATTCTGCTTACTCAGCCCTGGTACACATGGGCATGGAAAAAAAAATGATAGTGATTCAATGATTTCTGAAAAGCATAGGAGGGAAAGTAGTAAGACAGGAGATGGGACCCCAGAGTTATGGTTCTAAGCCTACCGCAAGATGGTAGATGTCTTGGGCAGATCTTTCCATTTCTTTGAACCTTAGCTTCCTCAGCTGTGAAATGCTGGTTGAGAATCAAGGCTTCTCTGTAGTCCTTAAAGGGATTCTAAATACCTTTTTTTTTTTTTTTGGATCCTTTTGTTCCTAGCTGCCCGTACCTTTCCTTAAGTTGTCCTGACTATCCCCAGAGCTTCATGGAAGTAGTCGCTGGCTCTCTTGAAGGTTCAGCAGCTGTTGTGAGTGAGTGAGTGAGAGTGTGTGTGTGTGGGTGTGAGTGTGGGTGTGGGTGTGTGTGTGTGTGTTCGTTCATGTGTTCGTGTGTGTTCATGCATCCCTCTTCAGGGTAACATCTAGCCCAGGACCTGTACCTGGAGCAGGTGCCCAGAAATGCTGGGAAAAGGCTGATGTGCCAGAATTTACAAGAGCATTTGCACATGGGAGGCTGAGAGGAGCCTAGGATTGGCAATGAGTTTGAAAAGAAGTCTTTTAAGCTTACTAGTGTGACCTCATGGTATAGGGAGAGTGTTTGACTTTGCAACATGGTTATGTAAATTTCTTTCTTTTCATTTTATATGTGCAGGTTTTCTTAAATATTTATCCCAATCACAGCCAACTAACCTGTTTAAGATTAAATCATGCCCTTTAAAATGCTCTGGGAACCTCTCAGGGAAAATAAATTGTTAACCTTTGAATACACAAAGAATTATTTATTTAGAAAAGATCGTTGAAAATACCAAACAACCAGAATGTACTAAAATAGGTTATTAAATGGATTACTATGTTATGTTCTGTTTGGATAATTTATTATTATTGTTATTAGCATTATTTTTAGTAAAGGAATGACATTGAGAACTATGTGAAAAGGCATCTGTCATTTGCAGATGTTAAATTAAAATCAAATTTCTTCTCTAATTCATTGCCACTTCTAATTAGAGGAATTCCCTAGATACGAGGGATTTGTATTATTCCTTTTGTCCAGTTTTTGAAAGACTGAGTCACCCACGAACAGTTGCTGAAGAATACTAAAGAA